CACAAACCGCAAACATCTGAAGCAAAGGCAAGGTGTCCTGCCGCGCAATGCGGTAATGTTGCAAGAGTTGCGGGAACATGTGTGTTTTTTTTTCCGTGCGTGGTTTGTGCGGCAGCAAGATCCTGTGCAGTAGGCCCGTCGTTCGGTCTGCGGAAACAATCGTCAACGGTTCCGTGGAAAGAGGTCTTTTTTGTGTGCTTTGTAAGCCGACAAGTCCCTTCCTGCTGTTTTTTGCTAAATATTGGCGGCAAAGTTCCCACTTTTTTCCCGAGCCGAATACGAAGCTGATTTGTGCTTTTTCCACAAACGCCTGCAGCAACGGCCAGGTATCCTGTCTTGCAATGCGGCAATGTTGTAACAATTGCGGGAAAAGTATGTGCGTTCGGTCTGCCGAAAATCCGTGTAAAGAGGGCTTTTTGTTTGCTTTTGTAAGCCGACAAATCCCTTCCTGCTTCTCTACCATTCTTCTTTCGCAGAAAAATTTTGCCGAATGCTTAAACATTTTTCGCAGCATCTGCTGGCGAAGCCAGATTGGGTTCCAACGCATTCCATCTTGAACCGGTATGATTCGATGCATGCTGTTTGGGGTCTTCGCTGGTGTAATTTTTCAAACACATAGGAGAGGGGCACGATCAAGCTCTTCAACTTTGAAGCGGTGGTAAGGTTGTTGTCTTGGCAAAACGCGTGGCAGTGAGGCAGGTGCTTGTGGTAAGGTTCTGTCTTGGCAAAACACGTGATGCAGAACCAGAACAAGACGCCACTTGATCACAACGAAGTCTACCAGCCCTCAACACCAGCTCCTTTGAGCTTTGAACTCACTCGAGCCAGAACCCTCACCACTAGGTTCCCAAATGTTCCCAATCAGTCTCTCCAAGCCAAGAAATTAGTTCTTGGAGCACCCGCGCCTTGTCAGCGCCCGCTGCCAGGAGCTCCCTCAGACAGTCCATGCTTCCCTCAAAGACCGCCCACTGTAGCGGCGTAAAACCTCGGTATAAGGCGGATCGACGCCAAGCCGGGGCTCAGCCTTAAGCGCTGGCCTGGGGCTTGCCTGCGGAAAGGCCGCGTTTAGTGTTTGTTGGGGGGTGGGGCTTGCAGCTGAGCATCTCGACTGAATACAGAAGGCATGAGGCCATCACGATTGGAGGAGCTGCTCCAACCGGTGAAAGACAACTGCACCTATTCTTCAAGTGGGCCTTGTGGCCCAGACGTCTCTGTGCATCCTGAAGCTAAACTCTTCTGTGGTTGACAGCCCGGGGAGGAAGCAGACCGAAAGGTCGACTAGTCCAGACTCAGACTCTACACTCCGAGGGAGAGCTGATTGAAAGCAGCTCAAGGGCCAAAGGCTTTCCTGGGGCTGGCACCCATCTTCGTCTTGTCTACCTCATCCTTCCACGGGCTGAAGACAACAACATGAAGAGACTATGCAGGGCTGAGAATCGCCAGCTACCAACAGCCTTGAACAAATTCACGTGCTACTTTGCTTGGCTATAGAGGTCCTCACGACGCGTCACTCTTCAGTTCTGCCCAAGGATGCCGCCGTGCCCTAGCTCAACCTCTTGAATGTTCAATGCTACAACCCTGCAGTCATCCCACGGGGCCTTGTCATGTCCTTCGGCCAGCAGCTTCCGCACGAGCGCTGGGTCATTGCGCTTGCAGGCCTCGTGCAGGGACCTCAAGGGCCAGGTGCGATGGACGTCCTCAATCTTTGGACCCCTAAAACTCCTGAAGGATCTCTATCAGTTTACAAAATGCGAGTATGCCGCATCGTGGATCCTTACATATAGCTTCCCAGCAAGAAGGAAGGCAAACTGATCTCAGCAACTACCCAGCAAGCCCGCAAGGCCCGCTCAACCCAAAATGCACCCGAACTGCCTCATACAGCTCTGAAAACTCAATCCTCTAAGCCTGCCAAAGCCCAGAAAACCCCCGCAATGCAAAGCCCCCTCTCTTCTCTTCATACTTTTGTCTGGAAGCTTGGGTTGCGGCCTGGGCTCCTCCTCGCCCCTGACCTGGTACAGGAAATCTCAGGCTCAGAGCGGTGGGGCGTAGCAGAATATTATGTTTACAGTGTCTATAGAATTCCTGTGGCAACCACTGTATGCCATTTCTGTCATATTCCAACCGTCTTTGGGTGGAGGGAATTCCTGTTGGCTTTTGTCTGGCTGGGGGGGACTTTCTCACGGTTTGCCAGCCTCGGAGCCCTCCTTTCTTCTGCTCTTGAGATTAGGGCAAAAGAGGCCCTGACTGTAGGAACTGGGCCAAGGCGTGGCCCTTCAAGAATTCTGTGGCTTCGGGCCGCTCTAGGGGACTTGGCTCGCAGATTCACCGAGGCAACCGCACTTCCAGAAGGCTGCGAGCTCATCTTTAGATGACTCCGTATACTCCGTCAGACCTCAGAGGTGCGCCAATGCAGCGACTATGTCCATGCTTATGATTCAACCCTGGAGGCCCTAGATCCCTTTGAACCAAATCCTTAAACCCTGACGCACTGCATCTGCTTCTGCACCCATCAGGTACCATGAAGATGGAGGGTTTCCTACTGAAGCGCTCTAGGGGGGAGTATCTTCAAGATGACGCTTCCTCATTCCTGGGCCTGCCTGGGACATGATGTGAGCTGCGGGTACAGTATCCAGCCCAAGGACCAAGGTTGGGAGCTCTTGGTTTTCACCCTAGAAGGAGGGTTCCTTATACTGTTAAGTGAAGCAAAATGGAGGTCGACGTTAGGGAGCATGTGCCCTGCACCTCCCCATGGCACTGTGACATGTTCGTCCCAATGACCGTACTTGTTGCTTGCAGCATTGCCCTTGGATGGAGGTCTGACTACAAGGGCCATAGGCAATAGGTCGTACATGGAACGTCCACGAGAGCTGGAAACAAGATTTGCGTGGTCCCAAGCACAATCTTATGTCGCTGGGGCGCTGGTCATTGCGGAAGCGTGCGCAAGGCTGTCTGAACCCGACGAGTTCGGATCAGGGTTGAATGATATTGTGTCTTTCGCCTTGCTTACGGTATGGGCCACTTGCTACTTCTGCAACTTAAAACTTCAAGTACTATGCCCCAGAGTGGAATTTGTGTCTGGAAACAGCACCATGTCAAAGTACGCCCTTGTTGGTCTATTGAAAACACGGCAGTCTTTAAGTGTTGATTGGCTGTTGGAAGGAGCTGCTCCGACCACAGCAGGCAACCCCCCTCCCCACCCTCCCTTTAGACCCCACACTCTCGCTACTACGCAACCATCTGGTAGCCGTGCTACGAGGAACCCGCGTGCAAACACTACTTACCAATACTCCTGCAGCAACACGAAGGCCCTCTCTTTACTGAGGCGCTGATGCTACTGCTACCGACACTTCAACTTCTGCAGGCTTCAAGAAACTGCTGTCTTTTCAGGCGGCTCTTCAACGTCTGCAGGCTTCAAGAAACTGCTGTCTTTTCAGGCGGCTCTTCAACGTTTTGCCAGCAGCGGAGACCATCTTCCAAATCAGACGCCATGCTGGCCTGACAGAAGCAGCAACTGGACTTCAGAAGACGCAGCGCGTCCACCAGAAGATGTTCCATAAACATCGGGCTTTGGGCTTTAGTCTTGGGTGCGTTTTGGAGGGTGGCGTTTGGCTTAGAGGTGCGTCTTTGTGGGTGGTGTGTAGCTGCGAGATGCGTCTTGGGAGGGTGGTGTTGGGCCGGGGTGCGTCTTGAAGGATGGTGTTGGCTTAGAGGTGCGTGTTGGTGGTGTTTGCCTTGGAGGTGGGAGGCCAAGGTTGAGGGGGGCTGTTTGCTGCGCTCTTTCGGTATGCGTATTCTGCTCCTCCGCATATGCATTTGCGCACCGTAAGGGTGTATGTGTGTTCGTGGCCCGGTAGGACCGTCTAAGGGCCACGGCATGCGCGCGTCTAAGTGTCTGGCGGCTGCTCTGGTGCGCCTAGGGCGCACACACTGTGCTTTGCAAGAGGTTTAGGGCTTTTTTTCAGGAGGCTTGAGGGTTTAGGGGTTGTTAGGGTTTAGGGGTTTTTGTTTTTTTGGGGTTTAGGGGTTTGTTGGGGTTTAGCGGGTTTTTCTGCCCACCCGTTTCGCATGCGTTTACAGGGAAAAGGTTAGCTTGTACAGTAGCCCGAGTTCAGATTGTGATCGTAGGATACCCCAGGTGGGTGTCAGGGGCTGCTTAGGCAAGGTATAATTCCAGGAAGACTCAACAACGACAAGTACAATGCACAACTCAGTCATCACAGCCCCCTTCCCACCCCTCTCAGTTTGTGCTGCTTGCCAGGGCTTTAGGATTCTGTCCGGGTTCGTTGGTGCCAACGCCGGCTCTGTTGTTCCCACCACACAATCAACCACATTGTAATTTAAGCCAGTCCTAAGTGCCCAAATCCAACCCAAGCCGCCCGGCTTGGGGGGGCGGGCCCATGGAGGTTCGGGTGGCGTTTTTCCCAGCTCGGATTGAGGGGCTCGGAGCGTCCTTGCCGGATCTCCCCAATGACGCAAGCGGAGGGGGGAAGAGATGGCGGGAGGGAACGTTTCCGTTGGCCGGAGTGCACCCCAGGCCGTCCACTCACTCACTCACTCACTAATTTAAGCCAGTCGCCCTTCATGCAAAAACCAGCTGTTCAGTCAGGCTCTGGCCTGTGGATACCAGGCGCTCTCTGTCTGGCATGCTTGCTACATCACAAGGGGTCACCACGAAAAGGGTTTAGGGGTTTGTAGGGTTTGGGGCGTAGGGGTTTTTGAAGAGTTTAGGTACACCCCGCGTGCACCTTCAACACAAAGCCCGCGTGCACCTTACACGGCACGCCCCTGTCGACGGCTGTTCCAAGTGCTGCTCAACTAAGTCAAACCCCCCACTGAAATGCGCTATCAGGCTGCAGCAGCATCCCTCGCATATCTTAGACACCCACCTGACCTAACGATCAGGATCACACACGTTCGAAGAGCTGCAAACGTGAGGCATGTGGGTGGGGAGCTTGCTTTCTCTTGACAAAAGTTGGAGCCTCAGCCGCGATCACAAGTCCCTAGGCTCCACCCCTGCGCCCAGGCAAGTTCCGAGACTGCTCCACTCGGGCCGTCTGGCTGTGAATGTGGCACTCGGGCCGGCTGTCATCGAAGGCATCGAAGAGCCGGTTCACGTAGGCTAGCATGGTGTGGTCACCGAGACCGGTTGGTGTGAGGAGGAACTCGTTCCAGCCCGCCACCCGCCGCTCTGAGCTCAGCACCTTCAGCTCTGCAAAGTGCTGATACCGGCTAGCGAAATCCTCCAACAGTTGGAAGTCCGGCCGGCTCAGCACTTGCTGCGCTGCTGCAGCAACGGCCTGCGAGGCAACGAAGCCCTTCACACTGCCCAGCTCGTCGACCAGTCCGTTCTGGACGCTATGGGCCGCCACTTCCACGAACGGCCGAAGATCCATGGCGGCCCATGCGCGAGGGCAGGGGTCGTTCTCATTGATGTAGTTCACAGCTCGCTGCTGTGCAAATGCCTTGAACTCCTGCGCTTGCTTGGAGCCACCGCCGAAGACCATCGGAGAGCCGAACGTGACGCACCGCACTTCCAGATCGGACAGAAAGGACACAACATCCTGCGAAGTTTGCGAAGTGCTGTCCATCTTCTTCCAGAGTAGGTAATGAAGCACTGCTGCGTACATTCCTCCCAAAGAATGCCCGGCAAAGATGACCTTCTGTATCCCATCTCCACTCGCCTCCTCCAAATGCTTCAGCAATCCTTGCTCAAGCCAGAAGCTTGCCGCGTGAAGGGTGGCCGCTGCTCCGCCGTGGACGAAGAAGTCGGGATCCTGGGTCGTGGCGTGGTTCAGCTCCAGATTCCAGTTTAAGAAATCCAAAATGTACGATGTGCCTTTGAAGACGACATACATCACTTTGCCGGTGGGTAGGTCAGCAGTGACTGTTGCGATCTTGACGGACGAACCAAACTCGCCAGGCTGAATCACTCGATGGACTTGCGTGGAAACATGATCGAGTTGCGGGGGATCTGGCTCGTCCGTGTACACCCAGTAACTCAGCACAGCTGCCACGAGCTCTGCAAAAACGGGCGTCTGCTGGACAGTGCTGTGGTGCAAGCTGAGGTTGAGCTGACTGGCTTTGGATGGCGGCAACTCCACGATCAAAGCTTTCTCGGCACTAAAGGGCACTGCCACTGCCTTACCGTTCACGTTGCAGACGGACACATATTTATACTCCCTGCTTGCATCAATGCCTGCGGGGAGGTCGATGGCCGAAGCCTGGCCATTGGCGGGGTCCACCACCAGAATCGTTGCAGCACCAACGGGCACAGCAACGGCCTTGCCACTCACGATGCAGACGGACCAGAATTTGTCGACCCTGTTTGCATCAATGCTTGCGGGGAGGTCGATGGCCGAAGCCTGGCCATTGGCAGGGTCCACAATTAAAACCTTCTCAGCATTGGCAGGAACGGCCACTGCCTTGCCGTTCACGTTGCAGACTGATAGATATTTCCCTTCCCTGCTGGCATCGATGCCTGCAGGGAGGTCGATGGCGGAAGCCTGGCCAGTTGCCGGGTCCACCACCAAAATTTTCTCAGCATGATACGGCGCCACCACTGCTTTGATGTTCATGTTGAAAACGGACACAAATTTTCCCCTCCTGCTTGGATCGATGCCTGTCGGGAGGTCGATGGCCGAAGCCTTGCCAGTTGCAAGGTCCACTACCAAAATCTTCTCCGCATCATATGGCACCGCCACTGCTTTCCCGTTCATGTTGAAGACGGACACAAACTTGCTCGTCCTGCTTGCATCGATGCCTGTCGGTAGGTCGATGGCAGAAGCCTGGCCAGTTGTAGGGTCCACCACCAGAATCTTCTCAGCATCGTACGGTGCCGCCACTGCTTTGCCGTTAATGTCGAAGACGGCCACAAACTTGCCCTTCCTGCTTGCATCGATTCCTGCAGGGAGGTCGATAGCGGAAGCCTGGCCAGTTGCAGGGTCCACCACCAAAATTTTCTCAGCATTATACGGCGCCGCCACTGCTTTGCCGTTCACATTGCAGACGGACCGAAATTTTCCCGCCCTGCCTGCGTCAATTTCTGCAGGGAGGTCGATGTCCGAAGCTTGGCCAGATGCAGGGTCCACCACCAAAATCTTCTCAGCATGAGCAGGCACTGCCACTGCCTTGCCGTTCACGTTGCAGACGGACACAAATTTCTCCCTCCTGCTTGCGTCGATGCCTGTGGGGAGGTCGATGGCCGAAGCCTGGCCAGTTGCGGGGTCCACCACCGAAATCTTCTCAGCATTCCGTGGCACTGCGACTGCCTTGCCACTCACGTTGCAGACGGACCAATATTCTCCCTGCCTGCTTGCTACATTGCCTGCAGGAAGGTCGACTGCCGTGCCTCTGCCTGCTAGTCCCGATGATTCCCAGACTGCCTTGCCTGGGCTCGTACTAAGCATTCAACAATAAATTACCACAACCTGGATCTATTTTGCAAAATACGGAACTCACACTAAGGTCCTTCACAAGAGCCCAGATGCGCAGACTCTGCGTGGCAAACCTTGGGACCTTCTTCAGCTCCAAACTTTTCCGCTTGGGGGAGGACGTTTCAAAGCTCCGCCTTTGTGCTTTCTGAGGCCGCACAAGTGTACTCTTCGCACTTTGCGTGAAGCTCAGATCACAGACCAAAAAAGTTTTCTCCAAAAGTCTCCAACTACACCTCCCCACACGCATCGCCAGTCTCGCTGCTTTTGCATCGCTGCCTTCAGCTCGAGGGATCCATGAGCGTGCAGTCGTAGACACTGCGCGGAATGATTCTAGAGAAATGCAGTGCTTCTATCCTTCTATCAGCTTCAAGGATGCTACTGGTACGACGACTCCATCCGACCTGGCGCTACGATTGGTCAGTCACCGCATCTTGAGACCATAACCTTCGGTCCGAGGCATAGCAAAATGAAATTGGACGACCTTGGCTAAGCCTTTTCCAACTATCAGCTAACATACGTAGGAGCCTTGAAGATCAGACTGGGATTACTGGTAGATCGTAGCAAGTATTGGAATCAGGAGCCTTAAAGCATCATTCAGCGTGCAGGTTTCTATATCGGGTATCTTTCGGTCTCCACAAAGCTCTGCAAGGCCTGTGGCACACCTGGCCCTCGACACTCTGCACGAGCCTAACCACCTCCCCAAGATTGCACGAAGCCTTTGCACTCCATCACACATCCTGAAACCGCGTCGCCGCAAAGCTCCTCGCCTGTTGCAGCCCTGAAGCCTACAACCCTGCCAAGCAAAGTGGACTCTGGGTCGGATGGTTTGCGAAGACACGACGATATCAATCATGAAAACTATATATATATATATACACATGCCAAAACTTTGAGGACACCGCCTCTTCACAGCCACCAGCAAGGCCTCGGCGAAAGGTGAGGGGGGGGTGTAAGGTTTAGAATTTGGGGGCATCCGGTTTTGGGATTTGGGGATTTAGGGTTTCAGGGGTTATGTAAGTCTTGGGGGTTCAGGCCTGAGAGTTTGCACGCGACGTTTGGGGCTTTGCAGATCCACCAGGGTTCGAGGCAACTCTTGGACAATTACCTGGCCCGCATAACTTTTAGGGTTTGGGGTGTAAGCCTAAAACAATAAGCCATCAGAGTTCTATCCCACAGAATACATATATCTGGATGTTTCGGCTTTGCGGCTTCTTCGGGGCATTTCGAGGCCTTTGAGAGTACGGGACACAAGAATGTTGGATTGGGTTTGAGTTCATCTGACCTTCAAAGACGGATCAACAGGCCTCGGTGTCGGCACGGTCGCAATTCCAAGAGTTGCGAAGATGGCGCGGTGTTCGCGGATGTTGATTAGCGAACGCGAACTCGCCACAACTGCTCGTTTAGACTGACAAAAAGAGTGGATGCTCAAAACCGCAAGGCACTGCACCCTTCACAACACATGCGGCAGATTTCATGGTCCTCATGGTCCATAGACCTTCGCGACGAGAATTCGTGGACCCAAAAACCCAAAACCGGACCCAATGACTCCAATGACACCAACCTGAGGCACGTGAGGCCACTGCCATGGCAGAAGTCTGGACATGGCCACTTGCTCTTACCCTGAGGGAGTTGCGCTTCACCCTAATGCCCAACCGTCATCTGCATATATGACTCGTCTGTACATCGCTATGCCCTGCAGGTTGTTTCCGCAAGTACGTAGACGTGTCTGTCACTGTTTGTCTGTCTGCCTCTCTCTGGCTGCATGCGCGAATTTACCTTGTGTATGTGTGCATGTCTGCAACTATGTGCACGAAGCTTTGCAAAAATTGAGCCTCAACTTCTGCGGCTGTGGAATCCAGGACCCTTGGCACAAGCTTGGCAAAGATATGCTTGACTCCGCTTGACGTCAAGGCAAGAAGCCGAAGATGGCTTTAGGTCAACAGGACCTTCGGGAGTCGGAGGCAGCAACACACGACGAGGCTTGACAGTGCTGTTGCTCGTTTTGCTCATGCATTGATTAGGGATCTGCGTCCAAATCTGTCTCTAGATACCAGCTGCATCGAGAAGCTTCTCAAGACTTGTCTTCGCATTGGGGTGTATCCGCCCCAGGGACAAGGCACTGGCAGAGCTAGGCAGCTAGGCACCACCCGCACGCACGGAGACCTTGCTAGACCGCCTGACTCGGGCAGTCTGACTGTGAACATAGCATTCTGGGCTGCCTGGGCTTCCTGCACCGAAGGCATCAAAGAGCCGAGACATGTAAGCAAGCATGGAGTGGTCACGGAGGCTGCCTGGGGTGTGCCAGAAGACTCTCCAGTGAGAGAACTGGCTCTGTGGGCTCAGAACCCTCAGCTCCGCGAAATGCTGATATCTCTTCGCGAAATCTTCCGAGAAGTGGAAGTCTGGGCGGCTTAGCAATTGTCGTGCTGCTGCCGTCACGGCCTGTGAGGCAACCAACCCGTCGATGCTACGAAGCCCACCGACCAGTCCGTTCTCTACACCCTGGGCCGCTAAGTCCACAAAGCTTCTTAGATTGATGGCACCCCAGGCACGCGAGCAGGGGTCGTTCGCGTTGATGTAGTTTATCGCTCGCTTCTGTGCAAAGTCCTTGAAATCTTGAGCTGGGAGCCGCCACCGAAAACCATCGGAGAGCCAAAGGTGACACACTGCACATCGAAGTTAGACAACAAGCAACCAACATCCGTCGATCCCATCTTCTGCGAGAACGTTTGAAAAGGAGCACTGCAGCATACATTCCTCCTAAGGAATGGCCGGTGAAGATGATCCTCCACGTCCGGTGCTTCTTTGCCTCACTCAGAAGCTCCAGGTGGGCGTGCATGGCTGCATGCTCGATCTGCGGTGGCTCCTGCTCGTCCGTGTGCACCCAGTAGCTCACCAAAGCTGCCACGAGCTCGGCAAATCTTGGCAGTTGGTGGATATTGCTATGGTGCAGGGTGAGGTTGAGACAGTGTGTGGATGCAGGCAAACACATGCCCAAAGTCTGTTCATCAACAGCCTTTCCGCTCATGCCGCAAAAGAGCATGCTTCCTGGGAGGTCGATGGCCGAAGCCCTGCCAGTTGCAGGATCCACCACCAAAACCCTCTCAGCATCAAGTGGCCCTTCCATTCATGCTGCAAACGGACTCATATTTGCGGGGCCTGCTTGCATCAATGCCTGCAGGGAGGTCGCGGGCGGAAGCCTGACCATGTACAGGATCCACTACCAACACTTTCTCGGCACCACTTGGCACCGCCACTGCCTTACCATTCACAGCACAGGCGCACAAAAACTTTCGACCCCTGCTAGCATCAATTCCTGCGGGGAGGTCGATGGCCGAAGCATGGCCAGTTGCAGGGTCCAGCACCAAAATCCTCTTGGCGTTCCATGGCACTGCCACTGCCCTTCCACTCGCCACGGAGATGGAGCAATACTTGTGGCATCTGCTGGCATCAATCCCTGCAGGAAGGTCTCTGGCTTGAGCCTTGGACGTTGCAGGATCCACCACCAAGATCTTATCGGTATCGAGTGGCGCCGCCACTGCCCTGTTCATCAAACTGCAAACTGAGAAATACTTCCACTCGGTGCGTGCATCAAGGCCGAAGGGTAGGTCGATGGCCCAAGCCTGGCTAGCCTCAGGATCCACCACCAAGATCTTCTCAGCATTACAAGGGGCCATGACGGCCTTTCGATTCACATTGCAGACGGACAGATACTTGCAGCATTTGCTTGCATCTATGCTCGCAGGGAGCTCAATGGCCGAGACCTGGCCATCTGCGGGTTCCACCACTAAAATCTTCTCGGCACCACTTGGTGCCGCCACTGCTCGGCCGTTCACGTTGCAGATGGACCCAAACTTGCGAGGCATACTTGCATCAATTCCTGAAGGCAGATCGATGGATTGAGACTGGCCTGTTGAAGGATTCAACACCAAGATCTTCCCAGCATCAAGAGGGACCGCCACGAGCACTTCGTTCACCTCGCAGAAGAAAACTTGTAGGACCTGCTTGCGTCAATCCCGACAGGGAGGTCAATGGTCGAAGTCTGACCCCTTGAAGGGTCCACTGCCAACATTTTCTCAGCTCGATGTGGCACTGCCACTGCCATTCCATGCACGTGGCAGACGGACACATATTCGCCGACGCTGCCTACATGACCGCCCGCGTGGACTTGGAGGGCTGCAGCATGGGGTGGTGGAGCCAGACTGCTCGTTGCCCCGCATGCTGTCCACATAGCACCAGGAGCTGCGTGCTGGATGGGGGCGGTTCTTGAGTGATGGTGCAAAGATCCCATGACAGACTCCACGCCCTATTCAACACCACAAAAACAATCCCCCATGACGAGACTCGAATTCTTTTAAGCTTCCAGCTCAGTACCCCCCCAAACCCTATTCTAATGACTTTGGCTTTTATCCCAGGGTTTAGGGCCTCTTTCCAATTCTAGGATGGAGCAGGGGGGGGGGGAAGACCAAAGACCGTGCCACATCAAACGCCAGATCGTAAACACTAAAGTCAATCCCCGAACGCAAACCCTGAACCCGAAATGCCTGAATCCTACACCCTACAACTTGGGAAGTCTTTTCAAAGTGCCTGGTATCCCCTAACCTTTCAAAAAGCGCCAGGAAAAAAGAGGATGGCGAGTTTTGGATGCGAGAAGCCGCTTGTCTAAGATTCCACAACTGAAATTCGGATCTCGGCTTCAGAGCTTCAAGCGCTGTCTAGGATTTCAGGGAGAATTTACGGATTAGGGGCCTGGGGCTAAGGAATTTGCACTGTCTAGGGTCAGGGCTTGAGGTTTGATAGTTTTGGGTTGGCGCTAGGTTAGGAGATATATCTGGTGTTCTTGATGTGTTTTCTGACGTGTTAAAGCCACAGCCATATAAACACCGAAGTCACTAAACCCGTAAGCCTCAGAGGCCCTACAAGCCCTAACCCGTCGAGGATTCTAGCTTCCTCCTGGCTGATGGGGTTGGAGAATTGCACCTCACCACTTCGTCTTCGTCGTTTTAGGCACAGAGTTGTCTACTCTGCCCTTGTTCGGTCTGCGGTGATATATTCCTGTTCTTGTTCCATTGACAGGGCCAACTTCATGAGTTGTGGGGGTTCTTTCCTCCATGGTATAACAAGACTAGACGTTAGAGGTATTTCCAGGAGCTGGAATTACTGCCGATTTTGGGCTGTGCCTATGCAAAGGAGGACACCACCGAGTCTTCAAGAACACCGACTCGATAGTTTGACAGGAAAGTGGCATTTCGGCCTGTGTACTCTCGGGTTCTGGCTCTGTCGCTTCTCCACAAGGGTTTCCTGGTAGATGTGGGCAAGTACTGTAGAAGCCAAAATAATTGCCAATGCTGCTCCGAACGCAAAGGCACGCATCTGTGAATGCTAACGCCGAGCTGCAAATCTGGGCGTCTTTCCCCTTTTCAGCCCCAAGCCCTTGCGGGAACCAGGACAGCCCCTCGTCATACTTTTGGGGATGGTGATGGCTATTATTATGCTTATTGTTATTGTTGCCACCCGCCTAGCTGACTGAACCGGGCTATGTTAGGATCTAGGGTTTCGGGTGCAGGGTTTAGGGGACCGTTTTAGGTTTTCTTTGCTTAAGCTGTAGCTGCGCAGCCCTGACTCAGATTTCCTGAGACCGCGCTTTTCCATGACAAGGCTCGACTCTCCCTCGGTTGAGTTCACCTAAGAGCTGCGCTCGAAACCCCGATCTTCTTCGGGGCGACTGTCTGCGAACAATAGCTTTGGCCTGCTCCAAAGCCTGCGAACGAAGATGCGTGCGGGAGCAAGGCGTTTCTAGCCTCCTTCCCCGCTGCTTGCAAGACCGGTATGGATTTGTTCACCTTGTTCCGCGATTGTCCGCAACATTTCTATGGGGGTCCAGCGTGGTGACGCTGGTGCATATGCATCAGGACAACATAGCTGCACGGCATACAGAAACATGCTCTAGCTTGGGTGGAACTTGCGGTCAAGGTATCATCGCCAAAGGGCCACTGGTGGGTTACCGACGGGCTTGGCTTGATCAATCAAAACTACTACGAATCATTGAATTGTGCTGGCCACTCTGGCTGATGCATGGCTGGATGATCGAATCCTAGGAGCCTGAGCCTGAGGAACTTGATGGCACTTTTGACTTCAGTGAGCACCACACACACAAATTCGAAGCAAACGCCTGAGTGGGATCAGCTTTACAGCCTTCGTATGGTTGCCAAACTGCTACACAAGCCCCTCAGCCAGGTCACAGATGTTCGAGCATGCCATATAAGATCGCCACTTGCTGCAGCTGCCGGATTCAACCGTAGCTAGCAGCAGCTAGCGGAAACCCGGGATGGGGATGGGCACGGGGATGGGAACGTTCGGAATGGGGATGGGAACGTTCGGAATGGGGATGGGAACGTTCGGAATGGGGATGGGGGCGATGTCATCGATGATGTCGGGGATGTTGGGCAGCTCAGGGAAGGCTTGCTTAAACCAGCTTTCGATGTTGTCCGAGATCCTGCCCAAAGAAGGTCTGGTGTTTCTGGCCCATTCCTGGTTGGAGTTTGTCCTTGGTCCAGCTGTGACCATTAGAAACAAAAATGCAACAAACCAATTAAAAAAACGAGGGAGCGCGACTTCAGGCTGCGGCCGGTTCTGTTCAGCTACAACAACATTCCCCACCGAACTGCGAACTCTGCCCCCCCCCCCCCGAATCGCGCTCTCTCTGAGGCCTCGGCTCCGACTCTGAGAGCCTTGGTACTGCCACCTGCAGCAGCCTCTTCGTCATCCCCTCAGCCTCCTCAAGGCTGCCGAAGTCACTCGTCCTTGTCTAAGGGGGCGGCCCTGGTAACAAAAGACAGGGCGTTTGGGCCCAAGGTTTTAGGGGCTTAGAGTCGTCGAGGTTCTGAAATCAGCCCCGAACTGAATTGCTGAGACTCCGGGGTTAAAGACAACAAAAGCTGCTCCAGAGTCAGGCCAGGGTCACTGGCTTCGGGTCAAGAGGAACGGGGCACCTCAGTTCTTTTGTTTGGAGGTGTTGCGTGAGCAGAGAGTGTGGCAAAAGAAAGCTAAGGGCAAAGAAGACAATGACTTTGTCTGACTTTAAGTACTTTCGGCCATGGCCGGAGATGGAACAGTATGGCCTGTGCCCTCAGCAATCGGAAGTTGGAAGTTGAGAAACGCCAGTATAAAAACTGGCGGACGCTGACAAAGTAGGGAGAAGATGACAATTGGTGACTGCACTGGAACGTGCAGCTGACGTGAACTGGTCTGCAAGTTGACCCCTCTTGCCTCTGCAAGTTCGCAAGCTTACTTGGACCAACACGGTCTTGGAGACATTTTGCAGCTTTCTGATGCCCCCTCGCAACCTTCATGAGGCCCCACTACCACTAAACCGAGACTGAGAGGCGAGCAGCGCTTACAACAATCATCGTCCATTCCCTACGATGTACACGAAAGGAGCAATTTATATCATCCCCTGAACCCTTGACTGTAAACCAAAGCTCCCACCTGACGGTTAGGCGATCAAGCTCATCGAAAATCTCCGCGGTTGTTGAATTCACGTCCTCAGGGGAGAATGAAGGGGTCTAATAGACCTTCGTAGTGGGGGGTTTTCATAATTTCAGTATAGCTCCAGGGAACTGGTAGAAAACAAGCGCTCCTTGCTCTCGGTGGCTTAAGATTTGGGAGCCCCACTTAAAAGCCTCAGGGGAGGAGAGTGGGGCCTCCAAAGGCCTGTCTCGCCGGTCGCCCTTTTTTAAAACTAAGAGAGAACTTTCCTCTTCCTTGCAAGTCTCGGACTCTCGGATGCTTTTCTCTTTGCTTCTTTCAGTCTTTTTGCTCTCTCTTCTTTTTGTTGCAGCGGATGGTCTTCCCACAGTTAATTTGCCCTTGCTTGCCCTCCGTCTCCACCGAGCGGCCTGAAAAGACTCTTCAAGTACTCTTCAACATGTTAATACGGCTTAAAAAAACCACGATTGTTCAGCAAGGTTGAGCTTGATGTTGCGAAATCTCTTGTGGACGAATAGGAGCTGTCCAAACGACGATGCGCTTTCTCGCGTGGTCCTTGGTCTTGCATTCGTACCGGAGCTTTGACAAACGGCCGCGCTGTCTGCATCCGGCGTCACCGTCATGACATGGACGTTCTGCTCGTTTTTCTGCCGACTTGGTACTGCGGCCGTTTGTTCAGCACCTCGCACAGGCATGCCCTCCCACCCCCTCTAGCAGCCCGCCCTCCTTGCCAAGTTCGGCGTCAGCAGCGGTCGCCCTTCTGCGACGTCAATGGCCCTTTGCACTATTGCGACACGGCGGAGGTTCGTTGTTAAAGGTTTGAGACGCCAGTCTTGTGTTAAAAGGGATGGCTCAGTCCTGTTTTGAAATCTTGTTGCGCTCTCGCCCAGGCGTGGGCCTACTTGTAAAGTTGGGAAGTGGCTGTTTACCTAGGCTACCAAGGGATACAATTCCCTTTGCAAGGGGCCGGTGGCTTTTCAGTGCCAGTTCTCTCTCTTTGTCTTTTTTTTGGGGGGGTGTTTAATTTAGGATGTCAAGAGTGTATCAGAAGTTATACGTGCTTCAAGCCCAGAATAGACAGGCCCCCATACACCGAGTGGGGGCTCTGTTTTCGGCTTCTTTGTCTTCTTTTTCGCGTTGTGCCGCGCTAAAACAAGTGGTCTTTGCTGTGAAGACAGCCGCTCCGAGCACGCCTCGACGTATAGAATGTGCACGGGGCGCCAGCAGGCGGTTTAAAGCTGTACAGCGCGAACGAAAACCTTAGTTTCTGCTGTGAAAACAGCCATTCCGAGCACGGTTTAAACGATTCACGTACAGAACGTGCATGAGGCGCCAGAAGGCGACTGCGCGAGTACGACTTTGCGCTCAAGGCGGCCACGATCCGACGACAATGTGCGATGCCACCGAGGCGCATCATGTGGGAATTGGCCGTGCAAGGGCCTGAAGGTTGGAGGCGTTCAGGGGCTTGATCAGGGCTGAGGATGGGGATTGGAATCCTTTCAGGAATCCTTATGTTTTGAACAAGCTTGCACGGTTTTTGCAAGGCTCAGGGAGTCGGGGGGCGGTGTGGCACCGCCGCCGCCCCCCCCCATTTTCACAATGCTCGCATGATGGGTTTGTATTCTTTGAAGCGAGCTTGCAAGGCTTTAAAAAGCGCGGCCTACCCCACACTCGCAAACATGATGGGGTTTGGAAAGGATTCATATCTGTTGAAGCAAGCTTGTACGGCTTGAACGAGTGGGGGTTGGGGGGCCCCCCCCTTCCCTTCCCCTTGCATTTTCAAACACAAAGCTCTGGCCCACTGCGAGAGACGCAAACAAAATCAAATGCGGAATGCAGACCTCCCAGGACGAAAATGTTGGACTTGGGATCGGGTGGAGTGAACGCCTGTAGAGGTTTCAGCACAAGGGCCCGCGTGTCCTCCACCCCCCGCCCCGTTCCCTGCTAAATGACGAATTGGCTCAGGCACAAGGCACATGCGGGTTGTTTCACCAAGTGATGCCACTCAATGAAATCGAGCCTCCGCTCTACAAAGGTTCAAGTTTTTCCGCTTCCTTCCCCACTGCAGAGGATCAAGCTTTCCGGCCGGAGCAAACCGCCTGCCCTTGACCCAGCAAAGACATGAGCCACAGCTTTCCTGGCGGCTTCAGGTTCAGGGTCTAGGAGGAAACGAACGCTTGCCTCCCGTCCTGTAACAGGAAAAGACCGCCCACACCCCTCTTGAGGTTCTCCCATTCCGTCGTTGCCCCACTCGCCATCCCGCTTGCCGCTGCTGCTCCGCTGTCCAGGGTCTCCCCCAAGCCTTCAGATGTCGCCTGCAGCGCCTCACGAGTATCGTCGGAGCTGGCAACGTCAGTCCAGAAGTCCCCCAGGTCTTGAGCCAAGTCTTCACCACCAGACAAGTCCACCTCAAACTGAACGTCCGCACAAACACCCACGAGAGCCGCGGCGCAAGCGCTGCCTCCCAGTGTCAGCTTTCCATCACTGTACACGCCGCTCACGTCGCCGCTTGCGCCGGCAGCAATGCCGGCCATCACGGACCCGCCCACCTTGCCGCTGACGTGCTCATTGCCGACCTGCGAATCGGCATTCGCCTTGGCATACGCCCCAGCGAATGCCTTGGCCTTGGCCGTGCAACCTGGGTTAAGCAGCAACCCAACTGATCTTTGACTGTCAACTTCTACAAAGTAGTCTTACGTCCGTATCTCATAGGGACAACATGGACAACCATTCAACTCAAGTACCCAGAAAGCCCAGCTCACAACCATCAAAAAACCAACTTTGTGGCAGCTCGGGGACCTTTCTTGGAAGTGCAGCCAGCTTCCGCCTCGGCCTTGGCTATGTAGCCCGCCTGGGAGGCTCGGAGCACATCGTTCAAGGGTTTAAGGGTTCGGTAGGGCTTCTTGGGTCTGAGGTCGAGGGGTTTTGCGGTTTGGTGCCGTTTACTTGGGGTTTAGGGCGTCTTGTAGCTGAGTAGAGTTTAGGGCAGGGCTCAGGTTTTAGGAGTTCGAGCGCTCCACTGCTCTACTTACTTGTTGTAATTGAGTTCTACCTTTTCTTCAACCAGGTCCCTGAGCCTGGAGAGCAGCCACCTGAATTAGGGAGGGGTTCCGGACCATCCGGCCAGGTCTTTGCAGTGAGACAGGGGTATGAAAGACATGATTGGACGATAGCGTCTTTACGAAATCTTTGCGCGACCGCAGAAGAGGCGACCAACAGGACTGCAAGGTATTGGAAGACTTCGGCATCCTAAGTGAGAAGACGATCTCATCAAACAGACCCAGCATTCGCGATCCAAAGCCCTTTTGACTCTAAACCCTAAACCCTTTTAACCCTTTTTAACCCTTTTCACCCTTTTAACCCTAAACCCTTGTAACCCTTAACCCAGTGAATGGGGCTGAGACCCACCAAAGGCGCAAATGCGTTTTTCAGCTTCTCGGCCTGCCTCCACGGCGGCTGTGTAGTCGGCAGTCACGCCGTGGCCCAGGTCTTGCTTTACCTGCAAAGTTGGTTCTACTGCAGTATGGCGAGTGTGATGAAGACAACAAAAGAAGGAGATTTATTTAGATAGCACATCCACCGCTCCCCCCCCCCCCCGCGCCCCGGGCTCACCGCCAGTGAAGACCTGCAGTGTGGTGCAGCCCCGCTTCACCCCTCTCCTTTCTGCATGTGTATGTACGATGTGGGTAGGCATGTATGTATGTATGTATTTGCATTTGTCTTTGTATTTGTTACTGTTTGTATGTGTTTGGAGGGCCCATCGCCAGGCAGAAAAACTCGGTTTCGCCGCCTGGATCGAGGCATGTCGTAGGGGCAGACCCCCTGAACCCCGTGTGAAGCCCCCTGATATTGAAGATTTTTGAAGCACTGAAGCTGATGCCCGGGCTCGAGGTTGCGCATTCATTGGGCCAATCGCACGTTACAGCAATCTTCTGCAGTGCCACTACTTCTTTCCACATACTACTTTTTACTGGCAGACCACTTCGTGCTAACATACTGCCTGAATTTGATTGGGAATTTCTAGCAGATCTCACCCATGTCCCCCAACCAAATACCGGCAGATCCGGATCCTCAGCCCAGGCCTCCTACACGCAATGTGAGTAACATAGTATGGTTTAGTATAGTCTGCTCTCAACCCTAGGTCCGAACCCCACTCCCCCTCCCACACCCTAAACCTAAACCCGTGACCTTCATGGCCAAGCTACTCTGGTTGAAGCCCCAGTCTTGGCCCCGACGGCGGCCGAAACCGTCACCTGGCAACCCTGGACTTCTGCACCGCAGCCGACTGAAGCACCTGCATCTGCATAGACCTGCTGTCGGAGTCTAAGCAGCGTTTGGGAGGGGGGCGGGGGGTTTGGGGTTCGGGATGACGGTTCGCAGTACATCTAACTCGGGGCCCTACTTATGGTCTGTGGTTTGGGTGGTTTGGAACCCTCTCTGCCTCCGCTTCAACTCGAACTGTAATAGAGACCCCTTCTGAGTTGTAGACCTCATGCTCGTAGGCCACCGTGATTGCACCACCAACTTCCACACAAAGGCCTTCTGGGCATGCGCCGAGCTGGTACTGGTAGCTGCCTTCCAAGGTCAGCATCCCCCGGCCATCTTCTGACATAAGGGATGCCCAGCGAGCCGTGTCCTGTTGCTGGTAGCCAATCATTGCACCACGCTTCTTCTTCTTGGCCCGGTCCTTCAGATCGGAATCAGCCATCTGGTCCAACGTCTCCTGCACCTTCCTGATGTCGGTATCTGAAGGTGCCTTGTCCCACTTGAAGTCCTTGGGGTTTTTGGTTCTTTGGGGGTAGTTAGGATCATTTCGCGCTTCCCCACCCGGTGTTGTCGTTGATTCTGGCCATCGATTGACGCCATCATTGTGCAACTTCTCCATGAGGGCGCGGTGTTTTGCAGCATTCTGCTTCGCCTGGTTATCGAGCACCCGCCGGTGGATTCCGACCATGGTGCGGTGATGGCGCAGTTCCCTGCGTCGTGCAAAGGGAGCGAGAGCTTCATCATACTTAACCACTTGCCACATGGCCCCTTTCTCTGACTCAACAAATTGACCTTCAATCAATACATGGGGGATGAGTGGTTTGCCTGGATCAAATTTTGCGGCTTCTGGGCTTCTCAATCAAAAGACTCCTGCAGCCGCCCCTTCTGGTGCATTGTGCGCAGATCTAATTTCCCTCTGCCGTAAGTTCTGAACTTGATTTTATGGGGCCGAGCCTGTCCAGTCTGCCAGCCTGTTGCTCCAGAGGCGTGCGCCTTGTCCGCAAATCGTTGGCAATTTGCTCGTGGTTCCTTCTCCTGGGATCATCAGCTGGTAACTTTGATGCTTGGGCCCTGTGAAGGTCCTCCACCAATTTCAGCCTCTGGTTTGCCGTCACATATGCAACCATCAAGCCCTCCTTGTGCTTGATGCGCTTCTCCTCAGCGGTCAGCCTCTGGTACTCGATGATCATGCGTTTCTGGTTGCGCACAATCTGTTTCTGATAGTCCTCCATGTTCTTGAGGTAATCGTTATATTTGGCACAGATGGAGCCGGTGCAGTCTTTGTCCACCCGTTTCTTAGTTGCTTAAGTTTGCTGACGTCTTCTGTCGAACAGGAGTTCTCCTACAGCATAAGAGCAGAGCCACAGACAGTACCTACTGGAGTACCAAGGAATTTCCCTAAGCCCTCCCGAAATCCTAGCACCCACACCTTAAATCCTCAACCCTCGCTGCTGCCTAGCCTCCCTGACGCCCCAAGAGCTCATAGGGGCCTGTCTGCACGTACGGCCAATGCACCGAAGTCCGTTCCTGCATTCTTGAGGACCCCAACCTTGGTTTGGACTGCCAGCAGCCAGCAACACCGGGCGTCGGGGTTAGGGTGTTTTTCGCCACCTGCCAAGCTGACTCACAGCGCATTTTCTGTGCCTTGAAAGGTTCAACAAACAAACGCCTTTGCTTCAAGTCCTGTCTGCCTACACCACCAGCTGCCACTCAAACCCCCATGCAATGCGAACACAAATCCAAACAGCCCGCCGAACCTGATTGGAGACCCTGTTTCTCAAAGCTCTCTTCCAGGATTCTCTTCCTTGTAGCCAATTCAAAGAGTTTAAAGTGTTGGGGTTGAGGTCTGGAATGGTTGGGGATCAGGGCTTGGGGTAGCAACCAAGCAGCAAGTGCCGCCCTCAGCCTGACTCGGGGTGCTCATGTAGTCCTTTACACCTGGGCTGCTGCTCTGGCAGGCCGCCTCTTGGGCTTCACTTCGTGCAATCGGGATGTGCATGAGTAGGCGAAGATAGCTAAGGCATGTCTCTACAAGCGGCATGTGCACCGTATCATGTATCTGTATCCGAACATAGCATAGCCCGGTGCCTGATGCTGAAAAGTACCCTCCACCAGATGATGCACTTCCTACTCCACAGTTGAAACTCGCACGCGCACGCACATTGGGAGGCACGACCCCAAAACCCATTGAACATTACTGCTGATGCTAGTCTGCACGCGTAGAAGGAATTTCACTGGCAACTTGTTTGCGCCAATGTGTATAACAGAATCAGAACATTTACGAATGGTTTCCAATGCTGTTCCTTGCCTTGCAGATTTGTGCTTCGAAGGCCCTCAGGAGTGGTCCAACATCAGACATTCACGACAGCCATTTGAGTCATTATCGCAGGACGGTTTTGGACAACGTTGTTGATCCGTTTTGCAGGTTTGGGCCTCAAAGGGCTCCGAGAGCACAAAATTCAGGAAATGCGATAAATCAAGCAAACAAAAATGAAACAAGAAAAGGTACAAAGACGAAAAGCCACAGCTAAGCACATCCGTTGAAACAATGGCATTTGTTTGTACATGTTTTTCAATGTTTTGGCAGTGTCCCGTGGACTTGGCTTTCAACATCTCGTGAAATAGTAACTGGGCTCGTTGAAAGTGTAAACGTGCTTCGTATTGGCACCCTCAAAATTGTTAATAAAAGCACCTCAAAATCATCTGCCCTTCGTGCCTATTGGTACCGCTCTCTGCGGACCTGCAGCATAACTTGTGAAACAGCACGAGTTCCTCTCAAGAACAAGCAACGATGGTAATGACAACCTTCGTTGTCATTACAGAAACAACTGTAGAAGCCACCTTGGTATCAAACACGCGGACATGGACACTCGTCGCAGTAGCAGTGGTTCCATCAGTACCAAGTGAATTATTTTTCGCTGTTCGGCCAGAAAGTGAGGGAATAACGGAGAAGGGCGGGGTACTTGGGGGCGTAAGAGCCGTGCCTTATGTGTTAGCAGGGAAGGGGATGTAAACGTTCCGTCGGCAAATTTCCGCGCAGGTGTGTGGCTTTTTCTCCTGCTTTGCCTTACCCCTTTCCGTTTTGCCCTGATAACACTAAAGCATGTGGCCCAAAGAATCCATGCCACCAGAACAGTCCTATCACCGTGCGCGGCCCCCCAGCACGTAGCTTTTGTGAGACTTGTCGTAAACCTCTACTCCAAAGTTGATTCTGTTCTGGTGCTTAGCCTGCTTGTAACAGAGTGCTCTTTGCAAAGGGAAGGATTCAAAACAGGGTAGGAAGAGTCATACTGATTGTCGTCATAATAGAGGTACTGGTATCAGCAATATCGCAATCCCAGCATTAATTCTGCAAATGGTGCCAGCACAAGACCCCAAACAGTGGGCGACCATGGGGAAACGAAAGGGCATCCAAAAGCATTCCCACGCACTGGAAAGTACACCAAGAGCACTGCCAGCTGTCCAGGCAACCTTCCAGTAGCGCCTCGAAGAACACCTTCAAGAGAAGCTCAAAGATCACTCCAAAAGCCCGCCGCGAGCACTTGAAGGACCACACTTCATGACAAGAAGGCGCATTCCAAGAGCACTCCAAGCACGGCAAATGCACCCCCCAAGTTGTTTTGGACAACGTTCCATGGCGCACTCTACGAGAATATCCCTAAAGAGAACTCCAAGAGTACCCTTGCGACGAAACTCGACGAGCTCGAGGCGACATCTGAGCACTATGAGTCAATACTGTTGCACTAGAAACGTCCTTCGTCTTCAGCCGGAGCTCCAGATTATCTCCGCAGATCGTTGTTCTCGACTTGGCGAAGAAGACACAGAGAGCTACCGTCGTTTGCGAGTCACGAGGCGACAAACCGCCGAGCAGATTTGGCACTCGGAGATACCGATGACTTGGAAATCGCCCGCGACCACGAACTTTGGCGCTCGGAGATGCCCCTTGTGCGTCGCGCGTCGTCGAGCAATGGGGACGAACGAAAAGAAATTGGAGTTCCACCTGGCATTGCGCCGGCCAATGGATACGACTTTTTTAGGGCCTAAGCACATGTGGCGATGTTGGAAAGCCCCCCTAGTACTGAGACTTGTTTTGGGGAAACCAATAACATATTGGGATTCTTATGAAGAATCGCAGAGTTAGGTTCGTTGAACATAAGGGAAGCCCAATAACAGCACCAGCAGCCGAAGCACCACTGCCATGCATCAGGCATACGAATCGGGTACGATTACAGATGCTCGCCGTCATCATCTTCGGAAACATGTGCTCACACGAAGCTGAAGTGTCAAGAGTGATATGCGTGAAGGCTCAGCCTACTAGTAAACGATAGGCTTGCTCACAAGCAGGAATGATTCCAGCCATATGAGCGAGTGGAATATCCTAGTAGATAGTACACTTAGTACTTCATAATATGACTGGTCAAAGAACAACGTGGTAATGCGGCGACGGTACATGGAGGCAGTGTAGTACAGCACTTGAAATACTACAACATGTATATCCGTCAAGAACAAGTCGTAATACACTCCGTTATGGAGCTTAATTGAGTCTCCACACACGAACACGTGGACAGATTTCTAAAGGGAGTGAAGACACCGCCAGTCTCGCCATACATCGCAGCCAGGTCAGTCTGAGCTAGGAACCACTCTGGGCAGTCCCGGCAATAGCCCCAGTCATGCTGGTTGTCCCGCCTTTCAGTCACTCCTGGCCTCAAACAATACGAGTGGTCGTACTTCTTTTGCTCCTGGGGCAGCGTTTCTACTGCGCACTGTCCCGACTTGTGCACAGTGGAACAAAGGTTTGGCCACGGGACTTGAGACACACAAGGGCAAACGTTCTGGGACTTGATGCTGGAACCTACGTAGTTCCTGTCGCATGCACTGGATGGATTATCCATGGCGGCTCCATACGAGCACGCGCTCTCACTTCCGTCTGTCGCGAATGCCAACGGGGCCAAGCGATAAAAAATCATCCTCGTGCACTCATGGCCTGCTGCTCTGACAGAAGCACGGGCCTGTGCTTCCGTGGAAACCTGTCTCAGATCATGTTCTGAACAAGTCCAGGACCCACTCTTCAGCCGACATGCTTCAGTGCAAGACTGCCCGTAAGCTGAAAGCATCCACAGGATCTCCCCTGTGGGAGGAACAGTCCAGCTTCGCCAATTGTCTTTCCTGGGAAATGGACGCGAGCCGTCCACCTCTGAGACATAGGCGCACTTTGGTGTAAATACCTCGGGTGGACATGGCCGGCAATAACCCCAGTCGTGTGCACCTGGTACCTTGCTCGAGATGCCCTTCCGCAGGCAATACGCATGTTGCGAGCCTGCAGGCTTATGGCATTTGCCAAAAGCAAGGCCGTCCTCCTTAGAGCATTCTACAGGCCAAGTGAGGCTGGTCGACCCCGTCGTGCTGAAAATGTAGTGGAACTCATCCGTGCGCACATCCGGACTTGAGCCGTCGGCCAAGGTATCGTAAGCACACATGGCAACCTCGGCTCCGGCTTTTTGGCTGCTGTTGGAGATGAATGAAATTGCAATCATGCTTGTGAACTTTGCCTGTGTCCTTTCTGCCGGCTAGCTAGCTGTTTAGCATGCTTGCTAAGCACGGAACCGATGTCGGACAACGAGTTCCGCGCACTACATATACATGTTTTCTGGTCTCCCCACCCCCTCCCAATGGCCCAACCTCGACTGTGAAAGCTCTGTGTACACTACACATTCTAATGTGTTTTCCCTGTATTTCTAATCAGTAACAGTGAGATGAGATACGAGGGTTGAGAGCCATACTTGCTGAGGGACGGGGGGGGGTTTAGCATATATATATATATATATATATATATACACACACGTTGTATTGCATTGCAAAACCAAAGTTCCTGGCCGAGCTTCCGGCTCCTCGACAACATAGATGGCCCCAGTCTTTGAGTCATGGACCACTTTGGGATTTTGCGAGAGCTTGTCGCAACCCCATGTAGTCAGGTTCACACCGACCTCGTAGTCACATGCAAGATCTGCCCGGTTCTCGCTGAACAGCTCGAGGCGACAGAAGTTCCCCCAGTCGCACTCATGGCAGGTTGTGACATGGTGGAGGATCCCAGAAATACCTTGGGACTACAAGCGCGCGAACCCTCACTCCATCCAGCAATGACCGCAAGCAGCTTTTGCTCTCTTCATTCCCCTTTTGATTAAGTTTATTAGGTTCTTCTCGTTGGTCTTTATTCACAGGCGTTATGAACTTACCGTAACTTCACGATTCAGTTTTCGGGATAAAAGGGCCATTCACTAAAAAAATTTTATTGTTGGATGCATTTCTCACGACCAATGAAACGAACCAGTGAGGTCATACATTAATGCAGTAATTCTACCGTAACAATCGTAAGATCTTCTTCTTGGGCATTTCTTAATAATTATCAATTATCCAGAGAACGGTATGATTATATTACTAATCATGAGCGCGGGAGAGAATACAACTATAAGTGAGCGAATCCAGTGAGCGATCGCATGAATTGTATTAAAACGTATGCATGACTTCGCTTCGCTCCTCTATGATTTTTTATTCGCGCAGCTCTTTTAACATCATTATGATTATTAGAGCTCTTTTAACATCAGTATAATCATTAGAGCTCTTTTAACATCAGTATAACCATTAGAGCTGTTTTAACATCACTATAAGTATTAGAGCGTGCGAAGTAAAGCACAACAAAGGTGGCACGCGTGCGTTCGCACGTGTATTTCATTCACGTCGCTTCCTTACAGTATAGCAGGGGTTATGACTGAAAGACCCTCTTTAAAGACACCACTCTTGTTCTTGGGACAGTACTACGCTCCTGAACTCCCTGAAAGCTCCCTCTTTGATACAAGATTCTAATTAACGTAATGAATCCCGCGTTTGGAGAGCTTCTCTGATCGATCATTCATTAGACTTTGTGTCTTTCCCTGCAGCATTATTGTACGCCTCTTTCATAGTGCATTAAAACATATTAAAACATAAGAAAACTAGATAGCATATGAATGGCAGGAATAAGACCAGAGTCTGAAGCTAAATATCCTATAAGTTTTAAATCCTTTAATATGCTCGGTTATGCTTATTAAAACTTGTGATTGAATGAAATTAACCGGGGCACGCATGAAATACAGTAATGAGATAACGAAATAGCCCATAGAATACTCTATTTTTAGCATATTTCATTCGAATCGTCCTATATAAATCTAAGAATCCCTGCAGCACTGTTGATTCAGCTACTTCATGCATTTACAAGATTAAAAATTAGGCGAATTAATATAGTAATTTGTTTACTGGTTGTTTGAGGGTTTTCTATTTAAAAATATGCTATTGTATTATTATCCTGACAGAAAAGTCAAAAGGATTTCAAGACAGCCCAAACAAGACTCATGACGTTAATGGTGTTTGTGGTGTTCATCTCATGCTTCCACTCACACTCTTATAACAAATGCTCTCTCCCTTTCGCTTTTCGTCATTATTCAATTATCTTTCCATAGAACTTTATAATTTTTAATGATCTGCAAGGATTTAGTATTTATTGGGTCTTGGGTTCTCTAGTATTCTCTGAATATACGCCTGTGAGGAACAGAATGTAATATTGGGGGAACGAAGTACGCGCTCTTCACAGCCGCCATTATTCTTACTGCGTTCACTGCGTTTACCTGAAATATATTATTAATGGCTTACCGTGAGCTCGCGAACGAGGAAGCGCCTGTAAGGCTGGGACGCAAGACCGAACTTGGATGGAACTCAAGCTTTTGGTAACGGCCTGGTGTGCATTAAAAGACAAACAAAACCCCACGTAGAAGTTCTTTGTTGGGGCATTTGAATGAGTCCGTTCGCGCGGTACCTTGTCACTGGTGCGCTCATTTGTTCATATTTCATTTTCTTACTCACTTGTTCACATTGATACTAGTGTTTCGCGGGCATAATTCAAAAGACAATGAGCCCGCGATAAAAACAAAAGAACTTAATATTTGATGCGCGCACACTAATGAGAAAAAGAGTGCGCGTGTTAAAACCGGAATTTTAAGAAAACATATACATGCGCTTCACGCATTTTTTACATCGTATCAAACTTGTACAGTCTTTTAGTTTTTTATTCGCGGGCATCTTTTTGTACTTTTCACTTGCCCGCGTTTATAATCCAAAGAAAAGTAGAATGAAGAGAGAACTATACCGTTAAGGAACTTCCAAGAACAGTCAACAATTCCGGAAGACAACATAAGAATACTGGAAATGAACCATGAAAGACCCCAAAAGGTCCATATAATCTTGTAAACGTAGGGACAAAAGACGTCCTTGGTTTATCAGTACTTGCAAGTAGGATACAAACTTAATGTTGCACCCTCTTTAGCGTGGCCCCCCCCCGAACCCCCCCCCCCCCCCCCCTGAACAGTCGAGGCTGGATTTTGCCCTGTTTAGACGGCTCAGAGGGTTCATATGATTTAAAAAGGGCGAGGAGTTTAGATAAGGTTAAAAGGGCAGCGATGCCCGGCAATCTTTTTCAAAGGCGCGCCACGTGGAATTTTCTTACGGCGTTAAAGAGGGAGGATGCCCTGAATAATTCAGCCAATGGACTTTATAGAGGGGCCCCCACTAAACCAGGTCCAGCACTACTGTATACTGTATGTTCGTTCATATCTTTCTTCATCCTCTACATTGTAAGAAGCGAGAGAAGGAGAAAGGTGGTTAAACAGACACCTGGCCTTGACAGCCTGTCTCAGCCACGTAGACTTTGCCTGTCCCGGAGTCGTGGATCAGCCTTGGAGACTGGGGAAGCTTGTCGCAGCCCCAGGTCGCAAGGTCCGAGCCGATCTCATAGTCACATTCGATGCCTTTCCGGTTCTCCGAGAAAGGGAGCTCGGAAAAGCTTCTGCCACACTGAGTCCATGCCGCAAGGTGATGGAGAACCCCAAAATTTCCTTGGTAGTTGGAGACGGTCTGCTCTGAGACACCACGCGTTGCATCTATGTGGGATTCTTGCTAAACTATCCACTCCGTCGTAGTACTTAGTCCATGCAGAGTTGCAGCATATGGTGCATTGCACTGCAGTATGCTCTACATCTCTACCTTCACCAGGCAGGGGAAAGAAACGAGGACAAGCCTCGAAAACACAGCAGGCGCACTTGGGCGCCCCGTTCACCACAATCCGCCATCCTGGGCATGAACCAGCAAGGGTTTCGATGCGGTCCCATGCTACTAGAAGCTCATGAGGGCCATTACCTTAAGGTCCTCTGTTGTAGATGGCTGGCAGGAACCGAGTCTAACAAAAGGGCACAAAGTACCACTGATCTACTAGGTTGCCCTGGGCATTGTCGGATAAGTCGAGGATTGTCTGGGAACTTGTTGCAGTCAGTGGAAGGATCAGAGGACATCGTGTCTCCAAGCTCATAGTCGTCGGAGAAGCTGGCGGCTTCTTCCACAAAGGGCCCGTCGCACACATTCTGGCCACAGGTGCCGCAGCTGAGGGTGTACATGATCCCAATCTTGGGACTGGTGGCCAGCTTCATATTTCCTCAGCATCGCCAGATCACGTGGGGAGTTCAGGATGTTTTGGGCTGCCCAGAGGGTCCTACACATGGAATGTGCATGTAGTTGTCTCTTGCACTTTCATCATAGGCCTGGTATGATAAATCTCATATGGTATGGGATTTGAAAACGGCAGGATGCGGCCCGCAGCGGTTCCGGACTGTCTAAATGGCGGGAAGCAGCTTGAAACTGTTCCGGACTATCTGTATTGAGGACACGGCTGGATGCAAAGCTGTCTTCTCAGCTCCCTAAAACAAACCCTGACCACGACTACTGAGCACACATGCACACCTTGGCTTTGTCTTGGTTCCGCTGGTTTGTGCCCTTGTCTGGGCTCGGGTGGAGATCGTGGTGTCACGCTGCGAATTGTCCTTTAGTAGTCTCGTGATAGCAGCTTGTGTTCTGGTGTCGAAGCCCTCGAAGGCTGATTGAGCACTCTGACTACAAGACCCACCTTAAAAGGGCGGCACCTCACCCTGACTCACCCCTCACCTAACTTTCGGCTTTTGCGAAGGTTGGAAGAATTCGTCGTTTCCTTTTGGCAAATTCCATGGCTTATCGGCTTGGGCGACGCACCTAGGCGTTCTGTTCACCAGCTAGCTGCTATTCATTCGGTTTGATTCTGGAATGTTGAGGCGCTGGGAGCGTCGCTGCCACAGCTTAGAGAATGGCCGACCATAAATCCCTTTCTTCAAGGTCCTTACATTCTGACAGTGCTTCTAGAACTTATACATAGCCTCTGTAGAATCATAAGCCGCTTCCGGAAATTATAAATGGCTTCTGCTGGAATGGGCCCATCCAAAGAGGCCATTGCCTGCAGGAAACAAAATAACAAAATAGAAAAAAACAATATAGTATACCGTACTGTGGCCTATGATATACTAGAAGTCTACTACAGTACTGCATACTCTCGTACATAGTATAGTTTTCTCTCGTGCTTAAGCTACTCGTATGGCTACAAAAGACTGCTCTTCTTTTGATGACTGTCCTGAATGATTGTGTGGTCCCTGTACAATTCCCCCTGAAGGGTAGGGGATCAAAAAAGTCATTTGGGATCAAAAAATAATTTATTTCTAGGTGGATCAAAAGAACTTAATTGGGATCAAAAAAAAATTACTGAAGGCTTCGAAGGCTTCTTGCAAGCGGAGCGGAGGCTGTAAACACTCAGAAATGCAGCAGTTCTGCCCCTTCGCAAGCTCTAAATACCGAAAAAACACAGCATTTGTGCGGGAACTACTGAACATAGCAGCATTTCTGAGTTTCCAGAGAGGCTGCAGATATTGTATATAGCGGCAGTTCTGCGCTTTCAGAGGCTGGAAATACTGTACACTGCAGCATTTCTGAGTTTCCAGAGGCTGCAAATACTGAAAATAGCAGCATTTCTGCGATTTCAGAGGCTGGAAATACTGTAAATAGCAGCATTTCTGAGTTTGCAGAGGCTGCAAATCAATGCTGGCATCTTGGCATTAGCAGTTTCAAAAAAAGGCGTATACTCTGAAGCATGTATATTCTGGCATAGTATTGTGGAAATTCTTGTATAATATTGTATGACATTGTATATTCTTGCATATTATTGTACATTGTTGTATATATAATTGAGTATTATTGTATTGTCTTGTATTTTCTTGTGTTTTTGTATAATACTGCATATTATTGCATATTATTGAATGGTATTGAATATTTTTCAAATTCTTGTATATTGTTCTCTCTTTTTTTGTAGTTACTGTATATTATTGTATATTATTGAATTTTCTTTGTATATTATTGCAGATTATTCTATATTATAGTATATTATTGTATATTCTTGTATATTATTGTCTACTATTGTATATTATTGTAATTTTGTACACTATTTTATATTGTTGTATGTCATTGTGTTTTTGTGTTTTTCTATATTGCTACATTTTTGTATATTTTTGAAAAATATTTTATATATGGTTGTATCTTATTGAATATTTTTGTATACTTTTGTATGTTATTGTATATTGTTGTTTATTATTGAATATTATTGTTAATTACTGAAAATTATTGTAAGTTACTCTTTTGTTTACATGTATATTGCTGCATATTCTTGTACATACTTGTATATTGTTGTATTCTTGTGTATTATTGTATATTGTTGCATCTTTTTGTAATATATTCTTGTATACCATTGTATCTTATTGTGTCTTCATGCCTTTTTTGCAAAAAAGTGCTCGCATCATGGGATTGGAAGGATTCATGTGCTTTGAAGCAAGCTTGCCCGGACTAAGAAAACAGCGGGGGGGTTGGGGGGTGCGCAGCCCCCCCCCCCCCATTTGCAAACACAACGCTCGCATCATTGGTTTGGAAAGGATATTCATATGCTTTGAAGCAAGCTTGCCCGGCTTTAAAAAACAGCGGGGGGTTTGAGACCCCCCCCCCCCCGTTTGCAAACACAATGCTCGCATCATGGGTTTGGAAGGGATTCATACGCGTTCAAGAAGCTTGCCCGGCGCCAAACAAACAAGAAATATGTATTGTGTATTATGAATTCTATATCAAATAGCAGTAAATATATACATATATGCTTTGTTATTTCGATTTTGTTATATTTTTATGATACTATACGATATTGTGTTCTATTCTACTCTATGCCACTATAATATTTTGTTATACCTTGCTTTAATATATACACACACATATATAAACTATAACATATGATGTTATGTTATGTTTTCCTACATATCCTTTCCTGTCCTTCATTCCTTTCCTTTCCCTCCTTCCTTCCTTCCTTGCTTGCTTGCTTCCTTCCTTCCTGCCTTCCTTCCTTCTGTCCTTCCGCCCTTCCTTCCCTCCCTCCCTCCTTTTCTCCCTCCCTTCCCTCTCTCCGTCGGAAGAGCAGAATAAATTATTTCTTGATCCTAACTAAACTATTTTTTGATCCTAATTAACTTTTTCTTGATCCGAAATATTTTTTATTCGATCCGCATCCCCAAATCTAGCGGCACAGGAGCAACTTAGCCACGTGGCCTCCAGAAGCGAGTTCGGCGGAAGACTTCAAGGACGATGATGCATTCAGAACTCCCTTCGCATGGAACTGCTGAAGAAGCTGCGTTTCCTGGGGGGCACTGCAAATATTACTCAGGTGGGTTTTGAGTGCTTATGCAGGGAGGGCTGTAGGTTCTCCAAGCACTTAGCATAGCTTATCGTGCTAAGTGTGGCACTCCTGCACACACGTTGAAAGCCATGACAGCGATTTTTCCGAAACGGCATCCCTGCCCAGGACCTGAACCCTTTTGCATAAACCCCAAACCCCATGTGTCGTTTGTCGGACCCCTGGGCTCAACCACAAGACTATTTTGGCATCCCCAAAAAGGTCCCCGCACACAGTCCCCTACCGGAGATTAGGATGTCGACCATGTAGATGGCAGCTCGTTGCAGCTCAGCCACATCAACGGCAATCTGTGCCTTGCCACAACGGAGTGGGGGGGCTCAGCTCTTTGCTCTTTTCTATGGCCCCCTTTTGGGTACCCCTATAGCAATAATCATGACAGCTTTTGGGGTAAACCTAGCCAGGAGTTTAGAGTTTTCTGAAAGAGTTTAGAAATAACTCGAAACTGGGCCTTCCCAGGGTCTAGGCTTCGACGACTCAGGCTACTTGCCTCTCTTGGGAGGTTGCCGTATAAACTCAGGGAGCATGAAGCCACACAAAGGGGTCGGAGTGAATGCTTCCAAGCTTCCGCATCTTGCGCTGCATCCTGGCTGCGGCTTGCAGGTCACCCACGGTTGTGGAGATCCCGTAGCTCAAAGTGCCCCAAACGCGCTGAAGGATTGTCGTTTAGATGTTAAGCCGGGGGGGGGGGGGGGCTTTGTGTTAGTGACTTCCCTATCGGGGTGACTTGTTTCTCCTCCAGAGTTGTTCATGTGTGTCGCTTCGTCATGTCAAACGTCCGTCAAGGCTAGTGTAGCCTTACTTAGCTGCGTGCACCCTGCTTTGCAGGGTTGAGAATGTTGGGGGTTTGCTTGTCGACTGGGATGTCGAATGTCGAGGCTTTGGGAATGCCCATGGGCATTTCTAGCGTTGATTCAGACCTTGTCGAGACTTCAGCGTTGTTTCCGACGAGGCCGTCTAAGGGATGCCTTACAGTCGCGTGACCATTCTCTGCATGGAGCGCTCATGTTCAGGTGTACGTCCAGCACTAGAAGCCAAGTAGCTCACAAGACTTGAAAGAGGCATGTGGGCTGGACGATGGATGGTCTAGCAATGCGCGTCTAGCATCTCCAACTCCGAGATCTGAAGGGCCGAATGGTCATTTGACCTTTTGAAAGTGTGCCTACGCTTCGGACATCTGAACGCTGCTACTTTGTTTGCATGACAGGTGTCTGAACTGTGGAATCTTGTAAACTTCACGATCGAAAAGCTCCGGGTTTTGCGCGCCCAGGACTGGTACTATCAGCACAAGGGAACCACCTTAATTGTAGCTCATGCGCCGAGTCACCACTGGCTTGTTATCAACCTTGCAGCTCGCTCCGCGCGCCGCTACGGGATCGGCTGCAGCGAAGGTCAAGAGTGAGGCCTCGCAGGGCATAGAGCTCATAGACCCTGCAAGGCAAGCGAAGCAGAGGCGCGTCTCTCCCTTTGCCTGCAGGAAGAAGCCGCAAAGGAGCTGGAAGATGCGGCCTGCCAGGCATCTTGGACTCTTAGAACCTGAAGCCTACACCCCAAACCCTCAAAGGCCCAAAAGGCCCTAAAGCCCTACAGTTTTGGGGGAGACCAAACCCGGCCCCTCCTTGGAAGCGGCCCTTCCACGTCGATAGCCTCAAGCTTTAGGGCTTTTGAGGGATTGCCAGGAGGGTTTTTCAAGGGGTTGTTAGGGTGCAAGGACCGCAGTACACATGATGTACAGTAGTAGTATGTACTACGGTACTTCATGCTATACTACATATTGCTAATGCTGCAGATCATGCCGTTGAGTCGGTAGTGCACAACTGAGGTGCCCACATGCTCAAAATCACCAGCTTCGGGGACAAGATGTCCAGAGGCTTAACAAGGGGGCTGTCCTCAAAATCTGAGAGCCGCAACATGGCCATTGAACGTCGGGCGCATTCCATCAGCTTTGTCAAGCCCGAATCTTCGAACAAAGATTCTTAACGCGGTGAATAAACTCTGTTCACGGCTGGGCAGGGACCCTGGAGCCCTAATGGTAGGATCCGAGTCTTTTTGGGGGCAAAGGGATATTCATGACTCCAGGCCCCTCCACACCCCCCCCCCCCGCCCAAGCCCTTGAACAATCGGGAACCCAGCTGCAGGGCTATAAAGTTTCAAGGTTTTAAGGCTTCAGGCCTTATGGCTTTCTAGGCTTCTGGGTCTTCATTTTCTTAGGTCTAAGGTCTTAGTAGGGTTTAGTTTAGCCCCAGTGTAACTCCTCGCCAAAACTGCTGTGTGTCAACACATGTCAAGCGCATCGAAATGATCCATCATCGGCTTGGGGTTTGAGGTTTAGGCGAACCCTAAACCCTAAACCGCAGCCATCACTGGTGGTCCAGCTCTGAACCCTGAAGCCCCCAAGCCATATCAAAGAGTGTGCTGCGGGAGTTCTCGGCTTTGACATCGTTGGGGTTGGGGGGTGAGGGTGGCCGGCAGGCGGTTTAGGGTTTAGGGCCTACCAGGGTTTTGGATCTTTGGCAGAACTTCTCGCCTTGTTTAGGGGGTTTAGGTTTAGGGTTTGGGGTTTCGGGCTGAGGGCTTCGATTGACGAGTTCTTCTTTCGGGTGCTTTGAAAGGTTTTGGGGACTCAGGTCTAGTCTAGGTCTCCGAAAGCCAGCAGACTTAACACTAACGTGCATCATGACCAGCAGGCAAAAGAATCCTAAGCGTTTGCAGTCGACATGAAACGGGGGGGGGGGGGGTTGCAGTTGCCCTCTTGTGCAACCGGAGTTTGCCGGCGGCATGGTTCGGCATGGACAAGGCAGGCATCTAGAGCCCGCGGCCAAAAACGCCGGGAGTCGATATCCCTAGAAATCGGTTGCTCCCCCCCCCCCCTCTCGAGGACTGCCCTCTCAACCCTCGATCCAAAAGACCTAGGACCAACCCAGAAAAACAAAGCCTTACCCTCTTGCTCCACTGGCGGAACAAAGTCAGAATATTGGTGGTTGTCAAAATTATGGTCCCTTTTTGGATCCCTACTATACTACGGCACCTAATATTTAGGGTGCCCCAAAAGTAATCCTCCGTCATAATTTTGACAACCACCCATGTGGCCGTTAACTCCTGTGAAACATCAGAGGTGGCAGTCAGCGCAATGTAGCCTTAGGCCAGATCGTCGCGCGCCGACAGAAGCCACCTTTCCGGGAGATCCTAAGCCTCCCAAGCTACGGAGAACGCAGTGCTTTTCAGAGTTACGGCGAGCTGCAGGAAGCAGGGCAATAGCTGGGAAGAGCGCCTCCTCAAATACCAACTGCACCCCTAACATGCCCTACCTCCCCTTAGCTGCGGCACTGGAAGCCTCTGAGTACAGGAAAAAGGTGTCTTTACCAAAAAAGCTTCTTAGTTGCAGCGGAAGGATCCCGACGTTTGGTTGCAGCCACAAGTCTGTGGGCAGAGATAAGCCAGACCACGAAAAAGCTCTTCATTCCTTCTTACTTTATGAGGAGGGGCTCTGATGACCTTCCTGCAGCCACCTTGCCTACCCATTCCGACTTGCTTACTTGCAAAAGGCCGCAGCAGAGGCTGGCAGTCCAAAGAGCACCTATAGCACCTATAGATCTTTTATACTAATTCTATACTACCTGGGTCACTGATGGGCCTCGGCTCCCATTTTTTTTTAGAGACCCTCATCGTAGCTTGTGACCTATATTACAACAGAGAGGGTGTAGAGCAATCCAAAAATTGATGCATGACTGCTGCGCGGGGCGCCCTGCGCACCAGGAGGCACCGGTCCTTAGCAAGAAGACCAAAGGCTTCGGCTGAGCAAGCCGGAGCTATAAAAACTAGCCGCGCTGTGCTCCTGGTAGCTCAATTATCCGAAGAACTGCTCTTGTCACTCCAAGAACTGCTCAAGCGCAGAGCACTCCAAACTGACCCGAGTCAAGTCTCAGAACCTCGGCAGGGAACTGCATGAGAGCGCTGCATCCGCCAGTCAGCATTGCCTCCGGGAGTTTATTGCACTTGGGATGCTCTGAAGACGCTTCAATGGGATGATTCTTGAGACAGTAGACTCCACAGGATCTCTAGTGAGACCACCTCCAGACGTGAGCGTTCTCTCTTGAGGATGTCTTTGACTGCTGCCACATGCGAGTCCTTGAACGATGGCTTGCACTGTGCCTGAGCTTTTTTTTGTTGCCCAAAGAGGAAACGGCGCAAACTCCAAAAGTGGCTGGCTCACTATCAAGAGGAAACTGAAACCCATGCTTCTTAAACTTCTCTAACCAACCCAAGTTTTCCTCCGTACAACTCCGAGCAACACCGCCGCACGGTAAATACACTCGGAAGATCTTGAACCTCAAAACCACCTCAAGTACGCACCATGTCACTACGCACACTTTACAAAGCTCTTTCTTTCTTTCTTTCTTTCTTTTTTTGGGGACTGGGGGACGAACCCACGCGCGTTTACAAAGCCCTCTCTCTCTCGCTCCCTCTCCTCTCTCAAGCCTGAATCCTTAACCCGCACTTGACGGAATGCGCCTGGATCAAGGCGGCCATGTCCGAGAAAAACGCTGTCTGCCGCATGTCGCGGCCATAGGCGGCCTGAGGTGTCATAGATGCACCCGTATCTTAACAGGCGTGTGGAATATACTGTACTATAGCATATTGTATTGCATATTGCGTGTGATGCAGCAACACTGCATAGAGGGCGGCGTCCGCCGAAGGGGGGCAGGCTTCAAATACTGGAAGCTCCTTACAGCATTCGGAGGCATTACTTAATGTATATTTCAAGAATTTTGCCTTCTCGCAGCATCCAGATACGATAAAGGAAACATTTTTGCAGCGGGTGTTCTGGTCCAAAACTGCGTGGCCAACGGGCGCTCTGCATTTGTGCTTGGCCCCCAACCATCCCTGTTCGCAACCCTGCGACTTCGCTTGCGTTCACAGATGAACCTCAAGCCGAGTCCGACAGAACTGCTGAATCCGGCACCGAATATCTCTACCGCCTCGAGTCGATGGTTTGGTTGGACCAGCACTTGTAACTAGTAGCAACTCCTGCAAGGCAGGGCCAATATGCGGTTCAGCTTTGTGACCCTTATCCTAAACCCTTTTGACCCTAAACCCGGTTCATCCCCCAAACCTACTTTCCTTCAGGGGCCCTTATCCTAAACCCCTTTGATCCCCTAAGCCTACTTTCCTTCAGTGGCTGTGCAATGGCTGTGCCCTGGGCCAAGTCAGGGAGCTGACATGACGTCGAGGTAGTCGTTCCAGAAGTCTGCCCAGTGAGGACCAGGCTGATCTTGGCAGGTGCGGTTGGTCCTTGCGAGTGTGGGGCTGGAAAGCTAGTCGGTTTGGCGATGCAGTGCTGAAGGAGCTCAGCTTTAAGAAAAAGAAAACAGGCCTTGAAGGAACTGAAAAAACGATCGAAAAAGGAATCTTCCAGCCCGGCTGCTGCAGCTGTGCCACTTGCAAGCAGGCTGCGCCACAACCCTGACCGCCGACTTTGTACCAGGGATTGCTGTAAGGACTCGTGCACCCACAGGTCACGCCGCATGTCAAACGAACCCCACGAGCATCGTGTGAGCTGCACAGTGCTTTCAATTCGCTGCCTTAGCTGCTTAGCCCCAAACTCTGGCTTGTGGCCCTCTAACTTCCAGATACTCTTCGATGAAAAGAAGGCACATAGAACATAACCACATATGGTACACGGCACATGCGCCCTGGCACGTGATCTTGCAGGAAAGCTGCAGCTTTGCACGCCCACGCGACCCATGCTTGCTGCTGCGTTGTTCAAGTGAACCAGCTGGTCTGCACTTGGAGGCGTGTCCCGGAGGTAGAGAAACTCTTCAATGCAGAATGGCCTCAAAGTTGATTCATCTCCTCAGTTATCCATGTGCTTGGATGCCTGGAACCCCAGGCAGCAAGCCAATACTGTCCTGCATGTTCTAAGCCTCTAAGCATACTAATACTGGTCAGCAACTATCCGGATCCCACACCAAATAGAGTCCACATGGTCGCCGAGTCTCGCATGCTGCGTTCGACTCTCTCCTTGAAGAGATCTTTGCTGGATGACATCACGAGATATGGAGACCCGCTTGTAGGGGGTGTTGTCCTTTGCGTATCTTCTGCTTCTGCCAGCCAGCACAGCAAACAACACAACAATGACACGTTCTAGAAATGCTATCCTGGCGAAGCTCCTTCAACCCAAAAAGTAGCAGAAGCAGCTGCGCAGGAAAAGCGAAACCCACTGTTTCACACATACGCTAGATCGTTGGGAGTCTACCCAAAAAAGTTGACATGCATGTATGTTTCGTGTTGAAGGTATACCGCCGCTGCAAGGTCGAGGCTTACCGCGGCCTGTGTAAAACCGTTGGTCAACAGCAAATGTCTCAAGAAGCAAGGCTTAACCTGACATGCTCCGGCAAGCGTCTCAGGCGAGGTAGCCTTATGAGATTCCACAGCCAGCTCTATGTGCGTGAGGTTCCGGGCAGTGCCAGGAATCTCTGTCATGACTCCATACGGCCTTTGCGTATAGGAGTTGTAAGAGACCGCGAAGTTCTGTGTTCCTCCACACATCTCCCGGATGACTGTCAGCATTGTCTCGGATAGCGGCCCGATCAGCAGGAAATACGAAGCCAACACAAGACTGCCCAAAGAAAGAAAGTGCAAGCAGGACTCCGCCTGACTCCTTCCGTGACTGTAGCTTACTTTGATTGGATCGAGCTTTCGAATGGCGTGCTGGTACCTCAGTGGAAGCATGCCAGCGAAGAGAAACTCGTCCACGTCTAAAATGGCATTGAGCGCGACGGCATTCCTGTCCCCATGTCATCTTCAGTGACACACACCGCATGATGTGTTCGTGCACAACCTTTCGGTCCAACCCTGGTCGCAGTTGGGCCCAAAATAGCCCACAAACCCTACACTTCGAAGGCTTCGCCCCTGCCAACACGCATGGCAGGGCAGTCGCGCAAAAGGAGTCTTATGAGCAGCACTCAAGTCCGTTGATGCCAAGGCATCAGCAACAAAATGGGCGGCGCAGCCCAACCCATTTGCAAACACAATGCTCGCATCATGGGTTTCAATCGTTCATATGCTTTGACAAAAGTTGCCTGATGGGTTTCAATCCTTCATATGGATTGAAAAAAACTTGCACGGCTTGAAGAAGCGGGGGTTTTGGGCGGGGGCGGAGTTTATATGCTTTGAAACAAGCTTGCATTACCAAAAAAGGCGGGGCGGGGGGCATCATGGGTTTCAATCGTTCACATGCTCGGATCAGTGGCTTCAATCGTTCATATGGTTTGAAAAAAGTGGCCTGATGGGCTTCAATCGTTCACGGCTTAAAGGGGGTTGGGGGGGGGTGGGCAGCCCATGCGCGCCTGGTCTTTCTTTCTTTCTTTTTCATTCTTTGCAAAATATACTTTACGTACGGGTGAGGAGGGTCAGAGGCCGAGGAGACTGCGGGCCGGAGGAGTACAGGACCACCAGACCAGGGGACCAGGCGACCAGCACACCGGGAGGCCAGGGGACCAGCAGACCAGGGGACCACGAAAAGAAAAAAGTACCAAAAAAGAAGTACTAAAACTAGGCCTTTCAGGCGTACGTTGTGGGGTCCTCACCCTATGAGCATGAAGGGGACATGCGACAAACTCCTAGGGCCCTCACCAAAACTTACGAGCACGACGGCATGTTTTTACCTCTACCGTGTTCTGAAAATGCAAACGTTAGGAGAACCACAGGATGTTTTTGCGCTTGTTCCTTTCTATTCCTGCCAAGAAATGCATGAATCATGTCTATGCCTTTGGGTTCAGACTCATGGTGCTGCATGACTCACCTATTGAGGGGCCGGCGCTGAAGTTTAGGGGAACCCGAAACGCCTGTCAAATTTCTCTACAATCTTCCTCTTTGGGGTCTTCGCCGGCATACTCCGGAGAAGAAGTAGATGGAGCTGGAGAGGGGGCTTCACAACTACCTCCAGTATTTCACAACCTACAACCTGCCTACGAAGCCAAGCCCGACTGCAAAGCTTCAGCGTTTTGACGGAGCGATTGCACACAGGGTGATACTAGGATGGCCCTGAGTGCCCTCTGAAAAATATTCCTGAATATGATCCTCTTAAACCCAATAAGGGAAAATTTGTAAAATGCCCTTGGGACCCTAAACCCTAAACCTAGGATACTACTGAAGAGGCAGGGCGCAACATCAACTCTTCGATGGAGGTTGTTCGGGCCAGCCATAGAACTCCAGCGACCAATAGGACAGTCGCAATTGCCTCAGTTCTGTTAGAGCTTAGGGATGTTTGGGGTTTAGGGTTTAGGTGTTATCTCTCCCTCTCTCTGTCTCTGCCGTCGCATCCAGAGGGTGTAGGGTTGAGGGGGTTTAGGGTCTTTTGAGCGAGAACACTCAGTGTTCTGCAGCACGTAGTAAGGTAGCCACTTGGCTCAGAGTTGAACAAGAGCGCACTTCAGGGATCGCGCTTCTGCTGCTATGTTGGCGCCCTGTTTGTGTTGCTCCAAGAAAACCAAAACCCACAAAAGTTCACTGAAAAGCCTGGCGACAGTGCGAGCAATGTACGTGGTGAGAAGTAGCAAACCCTGAAACTTGGGTTTTGCTGGACAGCTTCTGACGGCACAAATGCTGCTCTGCCAGAGTGCTGCGGAAGAGAGCGGCCGTTGCAACGGAATGAAAACGAAATGAACGGAAGAAACCCCAGGTGAAATCGCGGCAGTGAAATGAACACGAAATGAAGGCAATAAACTCCGTGGTATCATTGCGGCGAAATGTGGCGCGTGCTATTTGGTCCTCACGGTGCTTACCCACACCACAGAGACAGATCACACCCGGGTTTGTGCACCTGAAACCAGGGCTCAAAGCCCACACCACAGAGAAAACACACACCCAAATTCTTAAAAGTAAGACCCAAAAGAGTACTTACACTGCCAAATACTCTTAGTCGGGAACCAAAGCGAAGGTGTTACATTATCGTATACTTTTCTATGAAGGAACGCTTAAAGGAGTGCTAGTAGCCCCTAGTATTTAGTATTCGGGCTCATGTGTTGATTGAAATCCGGTGTGCAGTGCTTCCGAGGTCCGCGAGCTGGCCGACACCTCGTACGAACGACACGACTCTGAGTGGGCACCCAAGAGACAATCCTAAACCCTAAGCCCTTATCCCGAACCCTCCACCCTAAACCCTCCGAAACGAGAAACCCTAAACCCTAAGCAGTCACCGCATCTTGAGACCATAACCTTCGGTCCGAGGCATAGCAAAATGAAGTTGGCCGACCTTGGCTAAGCCCTTTGCAACTATCAGCTAACATACGTAGGAGCCTTGAAGATCAGACTGGGATTTCGGGGTAGGAGCCTAGCAAGAATTGGAAACAGGGGGAGCCTTAAGGAATCATACAGTGTGCAGGTTTCTATATCAGGTATCTTTCGGTCCCACAAAGCTCTGCAAGGCCTGTGGCACACCTCGCCCTCGACACTCTGCAGGAGCCTAACCACCTCCCCAAGATTGCACGAAGCCTTTGCCCTCCATCACACATCCTGAAACGCAAAGCTCCTCGCCTGTTGCAGCCCTGAAGCCTACAACCCGGCCAAGCAAAGTGGACTCTGGGTCGGATGGTTTGCGAAGACACGACGATATCAATCATGAGGAATTATATATATATATATGTATGTACACATCCCAAAACTTTGAGGACACCGCCTCTTCACAGCCACCAGCAAGGCCTCGGCGAGTCGGCGAAAGGTGAGGGGGGGGGTGTAAGGTTTAGAATTTGGGGGAATCCGGCTTTGGGATTTGGGGAAACCAGGGTTTCAGGTCTTGGGGGTTCAGGCCTGAGAGTTTGCACGCGACGTTTGGGGCTTTGCAGATCCACCGCGCAGGGTTCGAGGCAACTTTTGGACAATTACCTGGCCCGCATAACTTTTAGGGTTTAGGGTGTAAGCTTAAAACGATAAGCCATCAGAGTTCTATCCCACAGATTACATATATCTGGATGTTTCAGCTGTGCGGCTTCTTCGGGGCATTTCGAGGCCTTTGAGAGTACGGGACACAAGAGTGTTGGATTGGGTTTGAGTTCATCTGACCTTCAAAGACGGATCAACAGGCCTCGGTGTCGGCACGGTCGCAATTCCAAGAGTTGCGAAGATGGCGCGGTGTTCGCGGATGTTGATTAGCGAACGCGAACTCGCCACAACTGCTCGTTTAGACTGACAAAAAGAAAGGATGCTCAAAGCCGAAAGGCACTGCACCCTTCACAACACATGCGGCAGATTTCATGGTCCTCATAGTCCAAGACCTTCGCGACGAGAATTCGTAGACCCAATAACCGGACCCAATGACTCCAATGACACCAACCTGAGGCAGGTGAGGCCACTGCCGTGGCAAACGAAGTCTGAACATGGCCACTTGCTCTTACCGTGAGTTGCTTCACTCTAATGCCCAACCGTCATCCGCATGTATGACTCGTCTGTACATCGCTATGCCCTGCAGGTTGTTTCCGCAAGTACGTAGACGTGTCTGTCATTGTCTGTCTGCCTCTCTGGCTGCATGCGCGAATTTACTTTCTGTATGTGTGCATGTCTGCAACCATGTGCACGAAGCTCTGTAAAACATTGAGCCTCAACTTCTGCACTGCAGCTGTGGAATCCAGGACCCTTGGCGCAAGCTTGGCAAAGATACGCTTGACTCCGCTTGACGTCAAGGCAAGAAGCCGAAGATGGCTTTAGGTCAGCAGGACCTTCGGGAGTCGGAGACAGCAACACACAACGAGGCTTGACAGTGCTGTTGCTCGTTTTGCTCATGCATTGATTGGGGATCTGCGTCCAAATCTGCCTCTAGATACCAGCTGCATCGAGAAGCTTCTCAAGACTTGTCCCCAGGGACAAGGCACTCGCAGAGCTAGGCAGCTAGGCACCACCCGCACGCACGGAGACCTTGCTAGACCGCCTGACTCGGGCAGTCTGACTGTGAACATAGCATTCTGGGCTGCCTGGGCTTCCTGCACCGAAGGCATCAAAGAGCCGAGACATGTAAGTAAGCATGGAGTGGTCACGGAGGCTGCCTGGGGTGTGCCAGAAGACTCTCCAGTGAGAGAACTGGCTCTGTGGGCTCAGAACCCTCAGCTCCGCGAAATGCTGATATCTCTTGGCGGCTTAGCAGTTGTCGTGCTGCTGCCGTCACGGCCTGTGAGGCAACCAACCCGTCGATGCTACGAAGCCCACCGACCAGTCCGTTCTCTACACCCTGGGCCGCTAAGTCCACAAAGCTTCTTAGATTGATGGCACCCCAGGCACGCGAGCAGGGGTCGTTCGCGTTGATGTAGTTTATCGCTCGCTTCTGTGCAAAGTCCTTGAAATCTTGAGCTGGGAGCCGCCACCGAAAACCATCGGAGAGCCAAAGGTGACACACTGCACATCGAAGTTAGACAACAAGCAACCAACATCCGTCGATCCCATCTTCTGCGAGAACGTTTGAAAAGGAGCACTGCAGCGTACATTCCTCCTAAGGAATGGCCGGTGAAGATGATCCTCCACGTCCGGTGCTTCTTTGCCTCACTCAGAAGCTCCAGGTGGGCGTGCATGGCTGCATGCTCGATCTGCGGTGGCTCCTGCTCGTCCGTGTGCACCCAGTAGCTCACCAAAGCTGCCACGAGCTCGGCACATCTTGGCAGTTGGTGGATATTGCTATGGTGCAGGGTGAGGTTGAGACAGTGTGTGGATGCAGGCAAACACATGCCCAAAGTCTGTTCATCAACAGCCTTTCCGCTCATGCCGCAAAAGAGCATGCTTCCTGGGAGGTCGATGGCCGAAGCCCTGCCAGTTGCAGGATCCACCACCAAAACCCTCTCAGCATCAAGTGGCCCTTCCATTCATGCTGCAAACGGACTCATATTTGCGGGGCCTGCTTGCATCAATGCCTGCAGGGAGGTCGCGGGCGGAAGCCTGACCATGTACAGGATCCACTACCAACACTTTCTCGGCACCACTTGGCACCGCCACTGCCTTACCATTCACAGCACAGGCGCACAAAAACTTTCGACCCCTGCTAGCATCAATTCCTGCGGGGAGGTCGATGGCCGAAGCATGGCCAGTTGCAGGGTCCAGCACCAAAATCCTCTTGGCGTTCCATGGCACTGCCACTGCCCTTCCACTCGCCACGGAGATGGAGCAATACTTGTGGCATCTGCTGGCATCAATCCCTGCAGGAAGGTCTCTGGCTTGAGCCTTGGACGTTGCAGGATCCACCACCAAGATCTTATCGTATATCGAGTGGCGCCGCCACTGCCCTGTTCATCAAACTGCAAACTGAGAAATACTTCCACTCGGTGCGTGCATCAAGGCCGAAGGGTAGGTCGATGGCCCAAGCCTGGCTAGCCTCAGGATCCACCACCAAGATCTTCTCAGCATTACAAGGGGCCATGACGGCCTTTCGATTCACATTGCAGACGGACAGATACTTGCAGCATTTGCTTGCATCTATGCTCGCAGGGAGCTCAATGGCCGAGACCTGGCCATCTGCGGGTTCCACCACTAAAATCTTCTCGGCACCACTTGGTGCCGCCACTGCTCGGCCGTTCACGTTGCAGATGGACCCAAACTTGCGAGGCATACTTGCATCAATTCCTGAAGGCAGATCGATGGATTGAGACTGGCCTGTTGAAGGATTCAACACCAAGATCTTCCCAGCATCAAGAGGGACCGCCACGAGCACTTCGTTCACCTCGCAGAAGAAAACTTGTAGGACCTGCTTGCGTCAATCCCGACAGGGAGGTCAATGGTCGAAGTCTGACCCCTTGAAGGGTCCACTGCCAACATTTTCTCAGCTCGATGTGGCACTGCCACTGCCATTCCATGCACGTGGCAGACGGACACATATTCGCCGACGCTGCCTACATGACCGCCCGCGTGGACTTGGAGGGCTGCAGCATGGGGTGGTGGAGCCAGACTGCTCGTTGCCCCGCATGCTGTCCACATAGCACCAGGCGCTGCGTGCTGGATGGGGGCGGTTCTTGAGTGATGGTGCAAAGATCCCATGACAGACTCCACGCCCTATTCAACACCACAAAAACAATCCCCCATGACGAGACTCGAATTCTTTTAAGCTTCCAGCTCAGTACCCCCCCAAACCCTATTCTAATGACTTTGGCTTTTATCCCAGGGTTTAGGGCCTCTTTCCAATTCTAGGATGGAGCAGGGGGGGGGGGAAGACCAAAGACCGTGCCACATCAAACGCCAGATCGTAAACACTAAAGTCAATCCCCGAACGCAAACCCTGAACCCGAAATGCCTGAATCCTACACCCTACAACTTGGGAAGTCTTTTCAAAGTGCCTGGTATCCCCTAACCTTTCAAAAAGCGCCAGGAAAAAAGAGGATGGCGAGTTTTGGATGCGAGAAGCCGCTTGTCTAAGATTCCACAACTGAAATTCGGATCTCGGCTTCAGAGCTTCAAGCGCTGTCTAGGATTTCAGGGAGAATTTACGGATTAGGGGCCTGGGGCTAAGGAATTTGCACTGTCTAGGGTCAGGGCTTGAGGTTTGATAGTTTTGGGTTGGCGCTAGGTTAGGAGATATATCTGGTGTTCTTGATGTGTTTTCTGACGTGTTAAAGCCACAGCCGTATAAACACCGAAGTCACTAAACCCGTAAGCCTCAGAGTCCCTACAAGCCCTAACCCGTCGAGGATTCTAGCTTCCTCCTGGCTGATGGGGTTGGAGAATTGCACCTCACCACTTCGTCTTCGTCGTTTTAGGCACAGAGTTGTCTACTCTGCCCTTGTTCGGTCTGCGGTGATATATTCCTGTTCTTGTTCCATTGACAGGGCCAACTTCATGAGTTGTGGGGGTTCTTTCCTCCATGGTATAAAAAGACTAGACGTTAGAGGTATTTCCAGGAGCTGGAATTACTGCCGATTTTGGGCTGTGAAGGCCTATGCAAAGGAGGACACCACCGAGTCTTCAAGAACACCGACTCGATAGTTTGACAGGAAAGTGGCATTTCGGCCTGTGTACTCTCGGGTTCTGGCTCTGTCGCTTCTCCACAAGGGTTTCCTGGTAGATGTGGGCAAGTACTGTAGAAGCCAAAATAATTGCCAATGCTGCTCCGAACGCAAAGGCACGCATCTGTGAATGCTAACGCCGAGCTGCAAATCTGGGCGTCTTTCCCCTTTTCAGCCCCAAGCCCTTGCGGGAACCAGGACAGCCCCTCGTCATACTTTTGGGGATGGTGATGGCTATTATTATGCTTATTGTTATTGTTGCCACCCGCCTAGCTGACTGAACCGGGCTATGTTAGGATCTAGGGTTTCGGGTGCAGGGTTTAGGGGACCGTTTTAGGTTTTCTTTGCTTAAGGTGTAGCTGCGCAGCCCTGACTCAGATTTCCTGAGACCGCGCTTTTCCATGACAAGGCTCGACTCTCCCTCGGTTGAGTTCACCTAAGAGCTGCGCTCGAAACCCTGATCTTCTTCGGGGCGACTGTCTGCGAACAATAGCTTTGGCCTGCTCCAAAGCCTGCGAACGAAGATGCGTGCGGGAGCAAGGCGTTTCTAGCCTCCTTCCCCGCTGCTTGCAAGACCGGTATGGATTTGTTCACCTTGTTCCGCGATTGTCCGCAACATTTCTATGGGGGTCCAGCGTGGTGACGCTGGTGCATATGCATCAGGACAACATAGCTGCACGGCATACAGAGACATGCTCTAGCTTGGGTGGAACTTGCGGTCAAGGTATCATCGCCAAAGGGCCACTGGTGGGTTACCGACGGGCTTGGCTTGATCAATCAAAACTACTACGAATCATTGAATTGTGCTGGCCACTCTGGCTGATGCATGGCTGGATGATCGAATCCTAGGAGCCTGAGCCTGAGGAACTTGATGGCACTTTTGACTTCAGTGAGCACCACACACACAAATTCGAAGCAAACGCCTGAGTGGGATCAGCTTTACAGCCTTCGTATGGTTGCCAAACTGCTACACAAGCCCCTCAGCCAGGTCACAGATGTTCGAGCATGCCATATAAGATCGCCACTTGCTGCAGCTGCCGGATTCAACCGTAGCTAGCAGCAGCTAGCGGAAACCCGGGATGGGGATGGGCACGGGGATGGGAACGTTCGGAATGGGGATGGGAACGTTCGGAATGGGGATGGGAACGTTCGGAATGGGGATGGGGGCGATGTCATCGATGATGTCGGGGATGTTGGGCAGCTCAGGGAAGGCTTGCTTAAACCAGCTTTCGATGTTGTCCGAGATCCTGCCCAAAGAAGGTCTGGTGTTTCTGGCCCATTCCTGGTTGGAGTTTGTCCTTGGTCCAGCTGTGACCATTAGAAACAAAAATGCAACAAACCAATTAAAAAAACGAGGGAGCGCGACTTCAGGCTGCGGCCGGTTCTGTTCAGCTACAACAACATTCCCCACCGAACTGCGAACTCTGCCCCCCCCCCCCCGAATCGCGCTCTCTCTGAGGCCTCGGCTCCGACTCTGAGAGCCTTGGTACTGCCACCTGCAGCAGCCTCTTCGTCATCCCCTCAGCCTCCTCAAGGCTGCCGAAGTCACTCGTCCTTGTCTAAGGGGGCGGCCCTGGTAACAAAAGACAGGGCGTTTGGGCCCAAGGTTTTAGGGGCTTAGAGTCGTCGAGGTTCTGAAATCAGCCCCGAACTGAATTGCTGAGACTCCGGGGTTAAAGACAACAAAAGCTGCTCCAGAGTCAGGCCAGGGTCACTGGCTTCGGGTCAAGAGGAACGGGGCACCTCAGTTCTTTTGTTTGGAGGTGTTGCGTGAGCAGAGAGTGTGGCAAAAGAAAGCTAAGGGCAAAGAAGACAATGACTTTGTCTGACTTTAAGTACTTTCGGCCATGGCCGGAGATGGAACAGTATGGCCTGTGCCCTCAGCAATCGGAAGTTGGAAGTTGAGAAACGCCAGTATAAAAACTGGCGGACGCTGACAAAGTAGGGAGAAGATGACAATTGGTGACTGCACTGGAACGTGCAGCTGACGTGAACTGGTCTGCAAGTTGACCCCTCTTGCCTCTGCAAGTTCGCAAGCTTACTTGGACCAACACGGTCTTGGAGACATTTTGCAGCTTTCTGATGCCCCCTCGCAACCTTCATGAGGCCCCACTACCACTAAACCGAGACTGAGAGGCGAGCAGCGTTTACAACAATCATCGTCCATTCCCTACGATGTACACGAAAGGAGCAATTTATATCATCCCCTGAACCCTTGACTGTAAACCAAAGCTCCCACCTGACGGTTAGGCGATCAAGCTCATCGAAAATCTCCGCGGTTGTTGAATTCACGTCCTCAGGGGAGAATGAAGGGGTCTAATAGACCTTCGTAGTGGGGGGTTTTCAGAATTTCAGTATAGCTCCAGGGAACTGGTAGAAAACAAGCGCTCCTTGCTCTCGGTGGCTTAAGATTTGGGAGCCCCACTTAAAAGCCTCAGGGGAGGAGAGTGGGGCCTCCAAAGGCCTGTCTCGCCGGTCGCCCTTTTTTAAAACTAAGAGAGAACTTTCCTCTTCCTTGCAAGTCTCGGACTCTCGGATGCTTTTCTCTTTGCTTCTTTCAGTCTTTTTGCTCTCTCTTCTTTTTGTTGCAGCGGATGGTCTTCCCACAGTTAATTTGCCCTTGCTTGCCCTCCGTCTCCACCGAGCGGCCTGAAAAGACTCTTCAAGTACTCTTCAACATGTTAATACGGCTTAAAAAAACCACGATTGTTCAGCAAGGTTGAGCTTGATGTTGCGAAATCTCTTGTGGACGAATAGGAGCTGTCCAAACGACGATGCGCTTTCTCGCGTGGTCCTTGGTCTTGCATTCGTACCGGAGCTTTGACAAACGGCCGCGCTGTCTGCATCCGGCGTCACCGTCATGACATGGACGTTCTGCTCGTTTTTCTGCCGACTTGGTACTGCGGCCGTTTGTTCAGCACCTCGCACAGGCATGCCCTCCCACCCCCTCTAGCAGCCCGCCCTCCTTGCCAAGTTCGGCGTCAGCAGCGGTCGCCCTTCTGCGACGTCAATGGCCCTTTGCACTATTGCGACACGGCGGAGGTTCGTTGTTAAAGGTTTGAGACGCCAGTCTTGTGTTAAAAGGGATGGCTCAGTCCTGTTTTGAAATCTTGTTGCGCTCTCGCCCAGGCGTGGGCCTACTTGTAAAGTTGGGAAGTGGCTGTTTACCTAGGCTACCAAGGGATACAATTCCCTTTGCAAGGGGCCGGTGGCTTTTCAGTGCCAGTTCTCTCTCTTTGTCTTTTTTTTGGGGGGGTGTTTAATTTAGGATGTCAAGAGTGTATCAGAAGTTATACGTGCTTCAAGCCCAGAATAGACAGGCCCCCATACACCGAGTGGGGGCTCTGTTTTCGGCTTCTTTGTCTTCTTTTTCGCGTTGTGCCGCGCTAAAACAAGTGGTCTTTGCTGTGAAGACAGCCGCTCCGAGCACGCCTCGACGTATAGAATGTGCACGGGGCGCCAGCAGGCGGTTTAAAGCTGTACAGCGCGAACGAAAACCTTAGTTTCTGCTGTGAAAACAGCCATTCCGAGCACGGTTTAAACGATTCACGTACAGAACGTGCATGAGGCGCCAGAAGGCGACTGCGCGAGTACGACTTTGCGCTCAAGGCGGCCACGATCCGACGACAATGTGCGATGCCACCGAGGCGCATCATGTGGGAATTGGCCGTGCAAGGGCCTGAAGGTTGGAGGCGTTCAGGGGCTTGATCAGGGCTGAGGATGGGGATTGGAATCCTTTCAGGAATCCTTATGTTTTGAACAAGCTTGCACGGTTTTTGCAAGGCTCAGGGAGTCGGGGGGCGGTGTGGCACCGCCGCCGCCCCCCCCCATTTTCACAATGCTCGCATGATGGGTTTGTATTCTTTGAAGCGAGCTTGCAAGGCTTTAAAAAGCGCGGCCTACCCCACACTCGCAAACATGATGGGGTTTGGAAAGGATTCATATCTGTTGAAGCAAGCTTGTACGGCTTGAACGAGTGGGGGTTGGGGGGCCCCCCCCTTCCCTTCCCCTTGCATTTTCAAACACAAAGCTCTGGCCCACTGCGAGAGACGCAAACAAAATCAAATGCGGAATGCAGACCTCCCAGGACGAAAATGTTGGACTTGGGATCGGGTGGAGTGAACGCCTGTAGAGGTTTCAGCACAAGGGCCCGCGTGTCCTCCACCCCCCGCCCCGTTCCCTGCTAAATGACGAATTGGCTCAGGCACAAGGCACATGCGGGTTGTTTCACCAAGTGATGCCACTCAATGAAATCGAGCCTCCGCTCTACAAAGGTTCAAGTTTTTCCGCTTCCTTCCCCACTGCAGAGGATCAAGCTTTCCGGCCGGAGCAAACCGCCTGCCCTTGACCCAGCAAAGACATGAGCCACAGCTTTCCTGGCGGCTTCAGGTTCAGGGTCTAGGAGGAAACGAACGCTTGCCTCCCGTCCTGTAACAGGAAAAGACCGCCCACACCCCTCTTGAGGTTCTCCCATTCCGTCGTTGCCCCACTCGCCATCCCGCTTGCCGCTGCTGCTCCGCTGTCCAGGGTCTCCCCCAAGCCTTCAGATGTCGCCTGCAGCGCCTCACGAGTATCGTCGGAGCTGGCAACGTCAGTCCAGAAGTCCCCCAGGTCTTGAGCCAAGTCTTCACCACCAGACAAGTCCACCTCAAACTGAACGTCCGCACAAACACCCACGAGAGCCGCGGCGCAAGCGCTGCCTCCCAGTGTCAGCTTTCCATCACTGTACACGCCGCTCACGTCGCCGCTTGCGCCGGCAGCAATGCCGGCCATCACGGACCCGCCCACCTTGCCGCTGACGTGCTCATTGCCGACCTGCGAATCGGCATTCGCCTTGGCATACGCCCCAGCGAATGCCTTGGCCTTGGCCGTGCAACCTGGGTTAAGCAGCAACCCAACTGATCTTTGACTGTCAACTTCTACAAAGTAGTCTTACGTCCGTATCTCATAGGGACAACATGGACAACCATTCAACTCAAGTACCCAGAAAGCCCAGCTCACAACCATCAAAAAACCAACTTTGTGGCAGCTCGGGGACCTTTCTTGGAAGTGCAGCCAGCTTCCGCCTCGGCCTTGGCTATGTAGCCCGCCTGGGAGGCTCGGAGCACATCGTTCAAGGGTTTAAGGGTTCGGTAGGGCTTCTTGGGTCTGAGGTCGAGGGGTTTTGCGGTTTGGTGCCGTTTACTTGGGGTTTAGGGCGTCTTGTAGCTGAGTAGAGTTTAGGGCAGGGCTCAGGTTTTAGGAGTTCGAGCGCTCCACTGCTCTACTTACTTGTTGTAATTGAGTTCTACCTTTTCTTCAACCAGGTCCCTGAGCCTGGAGAGCAGCCACCTGAATTAGGGAGGGGTTCCGGACCATCCGGCCAGGTCTTTGCAGTGAGACAGGGGTATGAAAGACATGATTGGACGATAGCGTCTTTACGAAATCTTTGCGCGACCGCAGAAGAGGCGACCAACAGGACTGCAAGGTATTGGAAGACTTCGGCATCCTAAGTGAGAAGACGATCTCATCAAACAGACCCAGCATTCGCGATCCAAAGCCCTTTTGACTCTAAACCCTAAACCCTTTTAACCCTTTTTAACCCTTTTCACCCTTTTAACCCTAAACCCTTGTAACCCTTAACCCAGTGAATGGGGCTGAGACCCACCAAAGGCGCAAATGCGTTTTTCAGCTTCTCGGCCTGCCTCCACGGCGGCTGTGTAGTCGGCAGTCACGCCGTGGCCCAGGTCTTGCTTTACCTGCAAAGTTGGTTCTACTGCAGTATGGCGAGTGTGATGAAGACAACAAAAGAAGGAGATTTATTTAGATAGCACATCCACCGCTCCCCCCCCCCCCCGCGCCCCGGGCTCACCGCCAGTGAAGACCTGCAGTGTGGTGCAGCCCCGCTTCACCCCTCTCCTTTCTGCATGTGTATGTACGATGTGGGTAGGCATGTATGTATGTATGTATTTGCATTTGTCTTTGTATTTGTTACTGTTTGTATGTGTTTGGAGGGCCCATCGCCAGGCAGAAAAACTCGGTTTCGCCGCCTGGATCGAGGCATGTCGTAGGGGCAGACCCCCTGAACCCCGTGTGAAGCCCCCTGATATTGAAGATTTTTGAAGCACTGAAGCTGATGCCCGGGCTCGAGGTTGCGCATTCATTGGGCCAATCGCATGTTACAGCAATCTTCTGCAGTGCCACTACTTCTTTCGACATACGACTTTTTACTGGCAGACCACTTCGTGCTAACATACTGCCTGAATTTGATTGGGAGTTTCTAGCAGATCTCACCCATGTCCCCCAACCAAATACCGGCAGATCCGGATCCTCAGCCCAGGCCTCCTACACGCAATGTGAGTAACATAGTATGGTTTAGTATAGTCTGCTCTCAACCCTAGGTCCGAACCCCACCCCCCCTCCCACACCCTAAACCTAAACCCGTGACCTTCATGGCCAAGCTACTCTGGTTGAAGCCCCAGTCTTGGCCCCGACGGCGGCCGAAACCGTCACCTGGCAACCCTGGACTTCTGCACCGCAGCCGACTGAAGCACCTGCATCTGCATAGACCTGCTGTCGGAGTCTAAGCAGCGTTTGGGAGGGGGGCGGGGGGTTTGGGGTTCGGGATGACGGTTCGCAGTACATCTAACTCGGGGCCCTACTTATGGTCTGTGGTTTGGGTGGTTTGGAACCCTCTCTGCCTCCGCTTCAACTCGAACTGTAATAGAGACCCCTTCTGAGTTGTAGACCTCATGCTCGTAGGCCACCGTGATTGCACCACCAACTTCCACGCAAAGGCCTTCTGGGCATGCGCCGAGCTGGTACTGGTAGCTGCCTTCCAAGGTCAGCATCCCCCGGCCATCTTCTGACATAAGGGATGCCCAGCGAGCCGTGTCCTGTTGCTGGTAGCCAATCATTGCACCACGCTTCTTCTTCTTGGCCCGGTCCTTCAGATCGGAATCAGCCATCTGGTCCAACGTCTCCTGCACCTTCCTGATGTCGGTATCTGAAGGTGCCTTGTCCCACTTGAAGTCCTTGGGGTTTTTGGTTCTTTGGGGGTAGTTAGGATCATTCCGCGCTTCCCCACCCGGTGTTGTCGTTGATTCTGGCCATCGATTGACGCCATCATTGTGCAACTTCTCCATGAGGGCGCGGTGTTTTGCAGCATTCTGCTTAGCCTGGTTATCGAGCACCCGCCGGTGGATTCCGACCATGGTGCGGTGATGGCGCAGTTCCCTGAGTCGTGCAAAGGGAGCGAGAGCTTCATCATACTTAACCACTTGCCACATGGCCCCTTTCTCTGACTCAACAAATTGACCTTCAATCAATACATGGGGGATGAGTGGTTTGCCTGGATCAAATTTTGCGGCTTCTGGGCTTCTCAATCAAAAGACTCCTGCAGCCGCCCCTTCTGGTGCATTGTGCGCAGATCTAATTTCCCTCTGCCGTAAGTTCTGAACTTGATTTTATGGGGCCGAGCCTGTCCAGTCTGCCAGCCTGTTGCTCCAGAGGCGTGCGCCTTGTCCGCAAATCGTTGGCAATTTGCTCGTGGTTCCTTCTCCTGGGATCATCAGCTGGTAACTTTGATGCTTGGGCCCTGTGAAGGTCCTCCACCAATTTCAGCCTCTGGTTTGCCGTCACATATGCAACCATCAAGCCCTCCTTGTGCTTGATGCGCTTCTCCTCAGCGGTCAGCCTCTGGTACTCGATGATCATGCGTTTCTGGTTGCGCACAATCTGTTTCTGATAGTCCTCCATGTTCTTGAGGTAATCGTTATATTTGGCACAGATGGAGCCGGTGCAGTCTTTGTCCACCCGTTTCTTAGTTGCTTAAGTTTGCTGACGTCTTCTGTCGAACAGGAGTTCTCCTACAGCATAAGAGCAGAGCCACAGACAGTACCTACTGGAGTACCAAGGAATTTCCCTAAGCCCTCCCGAAATCCTAGCACCCACACCTTAAATCCTCAACCCTCGCTGCTGCCTAGCCTCCCTGACGCCCCAAGAGCTCATAGGGGCCTGTCTGCACGTACGGCCAATGCACCGAAGTCCGTTCCTGCATTCTTGAGGACCCCAACCTTGGTTTGGACTGCCAGCAGCCAGCAACACCGGGCGTCGGGGTTAGGGTGTTTTTTGCCACCTGCCAAGCTGACTCACAGCGCATTTTCTGTGCCTTGAAAGGTTCAACAAACAATCGCCTTTGCTTCAAGTCCTGTCTGCCTACACCACCAGCTGCCACTCAAACCCCCATGCAATGCGAACACAAATCCAAACAGCCCGCCCAACCTGATTGGAGACCCTGTTTCTCAAAGCTTTCTTCCAGGATTCTCTTCCTTGTAGCCAATTCAAAGAGTTTAAAGTGTTGGGGTTGAGGTCTGGAATGGTTGGGGATCAGGGCTTGGGGTAGCAACCAAGCAGCAAGTGCCGCCCTCAGCCTGACTCGGGGTGCTCATGTAATCCTTTACACCTGGGCTGCTGCTCTGGCAGGCCGCCTCTTGGGCTTCACTTCGTGCAATCGGGATGTGCATGAGTAGGCGAAGATAGCTAAAGCATGTCTCTACAAGCGGCATGTGCACCGTATCATGTATCTGTATCCGAACATAGCATAGCCCGGTGCCTGATGCTGAAAAGTACCCTCCACCAGATGATGCACTTCCTACTCCACAGTTGAAACTCGCACGTGCACGCACATTGGGAGGCACGACCCCAAAACCCATTGAACATTACTGCTGATGCTAGTCTGCACGCGTAGAAGGAATTTCACTGGCAACTTGTTTGCGCCAATGTGTATAACAGAATCAGAACATTTACGAATGGTTTCCAATGCTGTTCCTTGCCTTGCAGATTTGTGCTTCGAAGGCCCTCAGGAGTGGTCCAACATCAGACATTCACGACAGCCATTTGAGTCATTATCGCAGGACGGTTTTGGACATCGTTGTTGATCCGTTTTGCAGGTTTGGGCCTCAAAGGGCTCCGAGAGCACAAAATTCAGGAAATGCGATAAATCAAGCAAACAAAAATGAAACAAGAAAAGGTACAAAGACGAAAAGCCACAGCTAAGCACATCCGTTGAAACAATGGCATTTGTTTGTACATGTTTTTCAATGTTTTGGCAGTGTCCCGTGGACTTGGCTTTCAACATCTCGTGAAATAGTAACTGGGCTCGTTGAAAGTGTAAACGTGCTTCGTATTGGCACCCTCAAAATTGTTAATAAAAGCACCTCAAAATCATCTGCCCTTCGTGCCTATTGGTACCGCTCTCTGCGGACCTGCAGCATAACTTGTGAAACAGCACGAGTTCCTCTCAAGAACAAGCAACGATGGTAATGACAACCTTCGTTGTCATTACAGAAACAACTGTAGAAGCCACCTTGGTATCAAACACGCGGACATGGACACTCGTCGCAGTAGCAGTGGTTCCATCAGTACCAAGTGAATTATTTTTCGCTGTTCGGCCAGAAAGTGAGGGAATAACGGAGAAGGGCGGGGTACTTGGGGGCGTAAGAGCCGTGCCTTCTGTGTTAGCAGGGAAGGGGATGTAAACGTTCCGTCGGCAAATTTCCGCGCAGGTGTGTGGCTTTTTCTCCTGCTTTGCCTTACCCCTTTCCGTTTTGCCCTGATAACAGTAAAGCATGTGGCCCAAAGAATCCATGCCACCAGAACAGTCCTATCACCGTGCGCGAGCCTGCTTGTAACAGAGTGCTCTTTGCAAAGGGAAGGATTCAAAACAGGGTAGGAAGAGTCATACTGATTGTCGTCATAATAGAGGTACTGGTATCAGCAATATCGCAATCCCAGCATTAATTCTGCAAATGGTGCCAGCACAAGACCCCAAACAGTGGGCGACCATGGGGAAACGAAAGGGCATCCAAAAGCATTCCCACGCACTGGAAAGTACACCAAGAGCACTGCCAGCTGTCCAGGCAACCTTCCAGTAGCGCCTCGAAGAACACCTTCAAGAGAAGCTCAAAGATCACTCCAAAAGCCCGCCGCGAGCACTTGAAGGACCACACTTCATGACAAGAAGGCGCATTCCAAGAGCACTCCAAGCACGGCAAATGCACCCCCCAAGTTGTTTTGGACAACGTTCCATGGCGCACTCTACGAGAATATCCCTAAAGAGAACTCCAAGAGTACCCTTGCGACGAAACTCGACGAGCTCGAGGCGACATCTGAGCACTATGAGTCAATACTGTTGCACTAGAAACGTCCTTCGTCTTCAGCCGGAGCTCCAGATTATCTCCGCAGATCGTTGTTCTCGACTAGGCGAAGAAGACACAGAGAGCTACCGTCGTTTGCGAGTCACGAGGCGACAAACCGCCGAGCAGATTTGGCACTCGGAGATACCGATGACTTGGAAATCGCCTGCGACCACGAACTTTGGCGCTCGGAGATGCCCCTTGTGCGTCGCGCGTCGTCGAGCAATGGGGACGAACGAAAAGAAATTGGAGTTCCACCTGGCATTGCGCCGGCCAATGGATACGACTTTTTTAGGGCCTAAGCACATGTGGCGATGTTGGAAAGCCCCCCTAGTACTGAGACTTGTTTTGGGGAAACCAATAACATATTGGGATTCTTATGAAGAATCGCAGAGTTAGGTTCGTTGAACATAAGGGAAGCCCAATAACAGCACCAGCAGCCGAAGCACCACTGCCATGCATCAGGCATACGAATCGGGTACGATTACAGATGCTCGCCGTCATCTTCGGAAACATGTGCTCACACGAAGCTGAAGTGTCAAGAGTGATATGCGTGAAGGCTCAGCCTACTAGTAAACGATAGGCTTGCTCACAAGCAGGAATGATTCCAGCCATATGAGCGAGTGGAATATCCTAGTAGATAGTACACTTAGTACTTCATAATATGACTGGTCAAAGAACAACGTGGTAATGCGGCGACGGTACATGGAGGCAGTGTAGTACAGCACTTGAAATACTACAACATGTATATCCGTCAAGAACAAGTCGTAATACACTCCGTTATGGAGCTTAATTGAGTCTCCACACACGAACACGTGGACAGATTTCTAAAGGGAGTGAAGACACCGCCAGTCTCGCCATACATCGCAGCCAGGTCAGTCTGAGCTAGGAACCACTCTGGGCAGTCCCGGCAATAGCCCCAGTCATGCTGGTTGTCCCGCCTTTCAGTCACTCCTGGCCTCAAACAATACGAGTGGTCGTACTTCTTTTGCTCCTGGGGCAGCGTTTCTACTGCGCACTGTCCCGACTTGTGCACAGTGGAACAAAGGTTTGGCCACGGGACTTGAGACACACAAGGGCAAACGTTCTGGGACTTGATGCTGGAACCTACGTAGTTCCTGTCGCATGCACTGGATGGATTATCCATGGCGGCTCCATACGAGCACGCGCTCTCACTTCCGTCTGTCGCGAATGCCAACGGGGCCAAGCGATAAAAAATCATCCTCGTGCACTCATGGCCTGCTGCTCTGACAGAAGCACGGGCCTGTGCTTCCGTGGAAACCTGTCTCAGATCATGTTCTGAACAAGTCCAGGACCCACTCTTCAGCCGACATGCTTCAGTGCAAGACTGCCCGTAAGCTGAAAGCATCCACAGGATCTCCCCTGTGGGAGGAACAGTCCAGCTTCGCCAATTGTCTTTCCTGGGAAATGGACGCGAGCCGTCCACCTCTGAGACATAGGCGCACTTTGGTGTAAATACCTCGGGTGGACATGGCCGGCAATAACCCCAGTCGTGTGCACCTGGTACCTTGCTCGAGATGCCCTTCCGCAGGCAATACGCATGTTGCGAGCCTGCAGGCTTATGGCATTTGCCAAAAGCAAGGCCGTCCTCCTTAGAGCATTCTACAGGCCAAGTGAGGCTGGTCGACCCCGTCGTGCTGAAAATGTAGTGGAACTCATCCGTGCGCACATCCGGACTTGAGCCGTCGGCCAAGGTATCGTAAGCACACATGGCAACCTCGGCTCCGGCTTTTTGGCTGCTGTTGGAGATGAATGAAATTGCAATCATGCTTGTGAACTTTGCCTGTGTCCTTTCTGCCGGCTAGCTAGCTGTTTAGCATGCTTGCTAAGCACGGAACCGATGTCGGACAACGAGTTCCGCGCACTACATATACATGTTTTCTGGTCTCCCCACCCCCTCCCAATGGCCCAACCTCGACTGTGAAAGCTCTGTGTACACTACACATTCTAATGTGTTTTCCCTGTATTTCTAATCAGTAACAGTGAGATGAGATACGAGGGTTGAGAGCCATACTTGCTGAGGGACGGGGGGGGGTTTAGCATATATATATATATATATATATAATATACACACACGTTGTATTGCATTGCAAAACCAAAGTTCCTGGCCGAGCTTCCGGCTCCTCGACAACATAGATGGCCCCAGTCTTTGAGTCATGGACCACTTTGGGATTTTGCGAGAGCTTGTCGCAACCCCATGTAGTCAGGTTCACACCGACCTCGTAGTCACATGCAAGATCTGCCCGGTTCTCGCTGAACAGCTCGAGGCGACAGAAGTTCCCCCAGCCGCACTCATGGCAGGTTGTGACATGGTGGAGGATCCCAGAAATACCTTGGGACTACAAGCGCGCGAACCCTCACTCCATCCAGCAATGACCGCAAGCAGCTTTTGCTCTCTTCATTCCCCTTTTGATTAAGTTTATTAGGTTCTTCTCGTTGGTCTTTATTCACAGGCGTTATGAACTTACCGTAACTTCACGATTCAGTTTTCGGGATAAAAGGGCCATTCACTAAAAACACTTTATTGTTGGATGCATTTCTCACGACCAATGAAACGAACCAGTGAGGTCATACATTAATGCAGTAATTCTACCGTAACAATCGTAAGATCTTCTTCTTGGGCATTTCTTAATAATTATCAATTATCCAGAGAACGGTATGATTATATTACTAATCATGAGCGCGGGGGAGAATACAACTATAAGTGAGCGAATCCAGTGAGCGATCGCATGAATTGTATTAAAACGTATGCATGACTTCGCTTCGCTCCTCTATGATTTTTTATTCGCGCAGCTCTTTTAACATCATTATGATTATTAGAGCTCTTTTAACATCAGTATAATCATTAGAGCTCTTTTAACATCAGTATAACCATTAGAGCTGTTTTAACATCACTATAAGTATTAGAGCGTGCGAAGTAAAGCACAACAAAGGTGGCACGCGTGCGTTCGCACGTGTATTTCATTCACGTCGCTTCCTTACAGTATAGCAGGGGTTATGACTGAAAGACCCTCTTTAAAGACACCACTCTTGTTCTTGGGACAGTACTACGCTCCTGAACTCCCTGAAAGCTCCCTCTTTGATACAAGATTCTAATTAACGTAATGAATCCCGCGTTTGGAGAGCTTCTCTGATCGATCATTCATTAGACTTTGTGTCTTTCCCTGCAGCATTATTGTACGCCTCTTTCATAGTGCATTAAAACATATTAAAACATAAGAAAACTAGATAGCATATGAATGGCAGGAATAAGACCAGAGTCTCAGAAGCTAAATATCCTATAAGTTTTAAATCCTTTAATATGCTCGGTTATGCTTATTAAAACTTGTGATTGAATGAAATTAACCGGGGCACGCATGAAATACAGTAATGAGATAACGAAATAGCCCATAGAATACTCTATTTTTAGCATATTTCATTCGAATCGTCCTATATAAATCTAAGAATCCCTGCAGCACTGTTGATTCAGCTACTTCATGCATTTACAAGATTAAAAATTAGGCGAATTAATATAGTAATTTGTTTACTGGTTGTTTGAGGGTTTTCTATTTAAAAATATGCTATTGTATTATTATCCTGACAGAAAAGTAAAAAGGATTTCAAGACAGCCCAAACAAGACTCATGACGTTAATGGTGTTTGTGGTGTTCATCTCATGCTTCCACTCACACTCTTATAACAAATGCTCTCTCCCTTTCGCTTTTCGTCATTATTCAATTATCTTTCCATAGAACTTTATAATTTTTAATGATCTGCAAGGATTTAGTATTTATTGGGTCTTGGGTTCTCTAGTATTCTCTGAATATACGCCTGTGAGGAACAGAATGTAATATTGGGGGAACGAAGTACGCGCTCTTCACAGCCGCCATTATTCTTACTGCGTTCACTGCGTTTACCTGAAATATATTATTAATGGCGTACCGTGAGCTCGCGAACGAGGAAGCGCCTGTAAGGCTGGGACGCAAGACCGAACTTGGATGGAACTCAAGCTTTTGGTAACGGCCTGGTGTGCATTAAAAGACAAACAAAACCCCACGTAGAAGTTCTTTGTTGGGGCATTTGAATGAGTCCGTTCGCGCGGTACCTTGTCACTGGTGCGCTCATTTGTTCATATTTCATTTTCTTACTCACTTGTTCACATTGATACTAGTGTTTCGCGGGCATAATTCAAAAGACAATGAGCCCGCGATAAAAACAAAAGAACTTAATATTTGATGCGCGCACACTAATGAGAAAAAGAGTGCGCGTGTTAAAACCGGAATTTTAAGAAAACATATACATGCGCTTCACGCATTTTTTACATCGTATCAAACTTGTACAGTCTTTTAGTTTTTTATTCGCGGGCATCTTTTTGTACTTTTCACTTGCCCGCGTATCTTGGAGGTTATAATCCAAAGAAAAGTAGAATGAAGAGAGAACTATACCGTTAAGGAACTTCCAAGAACAGTCAACAATTCCGGAAGACAACATAAGAATACTGGAAATGAACCATGAAAGACCCCAAAAGGTCCATATAATCTTGTAAACGTAGGGACAAAAGACGTCCTTGGTTTATCAGTACTTGCAAGTAGGATACAAACTTAATGTTGCACCCTCTTTAGCGTGGCCCCCCCCCCCCCCCCCCCCCCCCCCCCCCCCCCCCCCTGAACAGTCGAGGCTGGATTTTGCCCTGTTTAGACGGCTCAGAGGGTTCATATTTTTTTAAAAGGGCGAGGAGTTTAGATAAGGTTAAAAGGGCAGCGATGCCCGGCAATCTTTTTCAAAGGCGCGCCACGTGGAATTTTCTTACGGCGTTAAAGAGGGAGGATGCCCTGAATAATTCAGCCAATTGACTTTATAGAGGGGCCCCCACTAAACCAGGTCCAACACTACTGTATACTGTATGTTCGTTCATATCTTTCTTCATCCTCTACATCTTAAGAAGCGAGAGAAGGAGAAAGGTGGTTAAACAGACACCTGGCCTTGACAGCCTGTCTCAGCCACGTAGACTTTGCCTGTCCCGGAGTCGTGGATCAGCCTTGGAGACTGGGGAAGCTTGTCGCAGCCCCAGGTCGCAAGGTCCGAGCCGATCTCATAGTCACATTCGATGCCTTTCCGGTTCTCCGAGAAAGGGAGCTCGGAAAAGCTTCTGCCACACTGAGTCCATGCCGCAAGGTGATGGAGAACCCCAAAATTTCCTTGGTAGTTGGAGACGGTCTGCTCTGAGACACCACGCGTTGCATCTATGTGGGATTCTTGCTAAACTATCCACTCCGTCGTAGTACTTAGTCCATGCAGAGTTGCAGCATATGGTGCATTGCACTGCAGTATGCTCTACATCTCTACCTTCACCAGGCAGGGGAAAGAAACGAGGACAAGCCTCGAAAACACAGCAGGCGCACTTGGGCGCCCCGTTCACCACAATCCGCCATCCTGGGCATGAACCAGCAAGGGTTTCGATGCGGTCCCATGCTACTAGAAGCTCATGAGGGCCATTACCTTAAGGTCCTCTGTTGTAGATGGCTGGCAGGAACCGAGTCTAACAAAAGGGCACAAAGTACCACTGATCTACTAGGTTGCCCTGGGCATTGTCGGATAAGTCGAGGATTGTCTGGGAACTTGTTGCAGTCAGTGGAAGGATCAGAGGACATCGTGTCTCCAAGCTCATAGTCGTCGGAGAAGCTGGCGGCTTCTTCCACAAAGGGCCCGTCGCACACATTCTGGCCACAGGTGCCGCAGCTGAGGGTGTACATGATCCCAATCTTGGGACTGGTGGCCAGCTTCATATTTCCTCAGCATCGCCAGATCACGTGGGGAGTTCAGGATGTTTTGGGCTGCCCAGAGGGTCCTACACATGGAATGTGCATGTAGTTGTCTCTTGCACTTTCATCATAGGCCTGGTATGATAAATCTCATATGGTATGGGATTTGAAAACGGCAGGATGCGGCCCGCAGCGGTTCCGGACTGTCTAAATGGCGGGAAGCAGCTTGAAACTGTTCCGGACTATCTGTATTGAGGACACGGCTGGATGCAAAGCTGTCTTCTCAGCTCCCTAAAACAAACCCTGACCACGACTACTGAGCACACATGCACACCTTGGCTTTGTCTTGGTTCCGCTGGTTTGTGCCCTTGTCTGGGCTCGGGTGGAGATCGTGGTGTCACGCTGCGAATTGTCCTTTAGTAGTCTCGTGATAGCAGCTTGTGTTCTGGTGTCGAAGCCCTCGAAGGCTGATTGAGCACTCTGACTACAAGACCCACCTTAAAAGGGCGGCACCTCACCCTGACTCACCCCTCACCTAACTTTCGGCTTTTGCGAAGGTTGGAAGAATTCGTCGTTTCCTTTTGGCAAATTCCATGGCTTATCGGCTTGGGCGACGCACCTAGGCGTTTCTGTTCACCAGCTAGCTGCTATTCATTCGGTTTGATTCTGGAATGTTGAGGCGCTGGGAGCGTCGCTGCCACAGCTTAGAGAATGGCCGACCATAAATCCCTTTCTTCAAGGTCCTTACATTCTGACAGTGCTTCTAGAACTTATACATAGCCTCTGTAGAATCATAAGCCGCTTCCGGAAATTATAAATGGCTTCTGCTGGAATGGGCCCATCCAAAGAGGCCATTGCCTGCAGGAAACAAAATAACAAAATAGAAAAAAACAATATAGTATACCGTACTGTGGCCTATGATATACTAGAAGTCTACTACAGTACTGCATACTCTCGTACATAGTATAGTTTTCTCTCGTGCTTAAGCTACTCGTATGGCTACAAAAGACTGCTCTTCTTTTGATGACTGTCCTGAATGATTGTGTGGTCCCTGTACAATTCCCCCTGAAGGGTAGGGGATCAAAAAAGTCATTTGGGATCAAAAAATAATTTATTTCTAGGTGGATCAAAAGAACTTAATTGGGATCAAAAAAAAATTACTGAAGGCTTCGAAGGCTTCTTGCAAGCGGAGCGGAGGCTGTAAACACTCAGAAATGCAGCAGTTCTGCCCCTTCGCAAGCTCTAAATACCGAAAAAACACAGCATTTGTGCGGGAACTACTGAACATAGCAGCATTTCTGAGTTTCCAGAGAGGCTGCAGATATTGTATATAGCGGCAGTTCTGCGCTTTCAGAGGCTGGAAATACTGTACACTGCAGCATTTCTGAGTTTCCAGAGGCTGCAAATACTGAAAATAGCAGCATTTCTGCGATTTCAGAGGCTGGAAATACTGTAAATAGCAGCATTTCTGAGTTTGCAGAGGCTGCAAATCAATGCTGGCATCTTGGCATTAGCAGTTTCAAAAAAAGGCGTATACTCTGAAGCATGTATATTCTGGCATAGTATTGTGGAAATTCTTGTATAATATTGTATGACATTGTATATTCTTGCATATTATTGTACATTGTTGTATATATGGTTGAGTATTATTGTATTGTCTTGTATTTTCTTGTGTTTTTGTATAATACTGCATATTATTGCATATTATTGAATGGTATTGAATATTTTTCAAATTCTTGTATATTGTTCTCTCTTTTTTTGTAGTTACTGTATATTATTGTATATTATTGAATTTTCTTTGTATATTATTGCAGATTATTCTATATTATAGTATATTATTGTATATTCTTGTATATTATTGTCTACTATTGTATATTATTGTAATTTTGTACACTATTTTATATTGTTGTATGTCATTGTGTTTTTGTGTTTTCTATATTGCTACATTTTTGTATATTTTTGAAAAAATATTTTATATATGGTTGTATCATATTGAATGTTTTTGTATACTTTTGTATGCTATTGTATATTGTTGTTTATTATTGAATATTATTGTTAATTACTGAAAATTATTGTAAGTTATTCTTTTGTTTACATGTATATTGCTGCATATTCTTGTACATACTTGTATATTGTTGTATTCTTGTGTATTATTGTATATTGTTGCATCTTTTTGTAATATATTCTTGTATACCATTGTATCTTATTGTGTCTTCATGCCTTTTTTGCAAAAAAGTGCTCGCATCATGGGATTGGAAGGATTCATGTGCTTTGAAGCAAGCTTGCCCGGACTAAGAAAACAGCGGGGGGGTTGGGGGGGGCGCAGCCCCCCCCATTTGCAAACACAACGCTCGCATCATTGGTTTGGAAAGGATATTCATATGCTTTGAAGCAAGCTTGCCCGGCTTTAAAAAACAGCGGGGGGTTTGAGACCCCCCCCCCCCCGTTTGCAAACACAATGCTCGCATCATGGGTTTGGAAGGGATTCATACGCGTTCAAGAAGCTTGCCCGGCGCCAAACAAACAAGAAATATGTATTGTGTATTATGAATTCTATATCAAATAGCAGTAAATATATACATATATGCTTTGTTATTTCGATTTTGTTATATTTTTATGATACTATACGATATTGTGTTCTATTCTACTCTATGCCACTATAATATTTTGTTATACCTTGCTTTAATATATACACACACATATATAAACTATAACATATGATGTTATGTTATGTTTTCCTACATATCCTTTCCTGTCCTTCATTCCTTTCCTTTCCCTCCTTCCTTCCTTCCTTGCTTGCTTGCTTCCTTCCTTCCTGCCTTCCTTCCTTCTGTCCTTCCGCCCTTCCTTCCCTCCCTCCCTCCTTTTCTCCCTCCCTTCCCTCTCTCCGTCGGAAGAGCAGAATAAATTATTTCTTGATCCTAACTAAACTATTTTTTGATCCTAATTAACTTTTTCTTGATCCGAAATATTTTTTATTCGATCCGCATCCCCAAATCTAGCGGCACAGGAGCAACTTAGCCACGTGGCCTCCAGAAGCGAGTTCGGCGGAAGACTTCAAGGACGATGATGCATTCAGAACTCCCTTCGCATGGAACTGCTGAAGAAGCTGCGTTTCCTGGGGGGCACTGCAAATATTACTCAGGTGGGTTTTGAGTGCTTATGCAGGGAGGGCTGTAGGTTCTCCAAGCACTTAGCATAGCTTATCGTGCTAAGTGTGGCACTCCTGCACACACGTTGAAAGCCATGACAGCGATTCTTCCGAAACGGCATCCCTGCCCAGGACCTGAACCCTTTTGCATAAACCCCAAACCCCATGTGTCGTTTGTCTGACCCCTGGGCTCAACCACAAGACTATTTTGGCATCCCCAAAAAGGTCCCCGCACACAGTCCCCTACCGGAGATTAGGATGTCGACCATGTAGATGGCAGCTCGTTGCAGCTCAGCCACATCGACGGCAATCTGTGCCTTGCCACAACGGAGTGGAGGGCTCAGCTCTTTGCTCTTTTCTATGGCCCCCTTTTGGGTACCCCTATAGCAATAATCATGACAGCTTTTGGGGTAAACCTAGCCAGGAGTTTAGAGTTTTCTAGAAGAGTTTAGAAACAACTCGAAACTGGGCCTTCCCAGGGTCTAGGCTTCGACGACTCAGGCTACTTGCCTCTCTTGGGAGGTTGCCGTATAAACTCAGGGAGCATGAAGCCACACAAAGGGGTCGGAGTGAATGCTTCCAAGCTTCCGCATCTTGCGCTGCATCCTGGCTGCGGCTTGCAGGTCACCCACGGTTGTGGAGATCCCGTAGCTCAAAGTGCCCCAAACGCGCTGAAGGATTGTCGTTTAGATGTTAAGCCGGGGGGGGGGGGGGGGGCTTTGTGTTAGTGACTTCCCTATCGGGGTGACTTGTTTCTCCTCCGGAGTTGTTCATGTGTGTCGCTTCGTCATGTCAAACGTCCGTCAAGGCTAGTGTAGCCCTACTTAGCTGCGTGCACCCTGCTTTGCAGGGTTGAGAATGTTGGGGGTTTGCTTGTCGACTGGGATGTCGAATGTCGAGGCTTTGGGAATGCCCATGGGCATTTCTAGCGTTGATTCAGACCTTGTCGAGACTTCAGCGTTGTTTCCGACGAGGCCGTCTAAGGGATGCCTTACAGTCGCGTGACCATTCTCTGCATGGAGCGCTCATGTTCAGGTGTACGTCCAGCACTAGAAGCCAAGTAGCTCACAAGACTTGAAAGAGGCATGTGGGCTGGACGATGGATGGTCTAGCAATGCGCGTCTAGCATCTCCCAACTCCGAGATCTGAAGGGCCGAATGGTCATTTGACCTTTTGAAAGTGTGCCTACGCTTCGGACATCTGAACGCTGCTACTTTGTTTGCATGACAGGTGTCTGAACTGTGGAATCTTGTAAACTTCACGATCGAAAAGCTCCGGGTTTTGCGCGCCCAGGACTGGTACTATCAGCACAAGGGAACCACCTTAATTGTAGCTCATGCGCCGAGTCACCACTGGCTTGTTATCAACCTTGCAGCTCGCTCCGCGCGCCGCTACGGGATCGGCTGCAGCGAAGGTCAAGAGTGAGGCCTCGCACGAGGGGCATAGAGCTCATATATTTCATAGACCCTGCAAGGCAAGCGAAGCAGAGGCGCGTCTCTCCGCCTGCAGGAAGAAGCCGCAAAGGAGCTGGAAGATGCGGCCTGGCATCTTGGACTCTTAGAACCTGCCTACACCCCAAACCCTGGCCCAAAAGGGGCCCAAAAGGCCCTCAAGCCAGTTTTGGGGGAGACCAAACCCGGCCCCTCCTTGGAAGCGGCCCTTGCACGTCGATAGCCTCAAGCTTTAGGGCTTTTGAGGGATTGCCAGGAGGGTTTTTTCAAGGGGGTTTTTAGGGTGCAAGGTACGGTACTTCATGCTATACTACATACTGCTAATGCTGCAGATCATGCCGTTGAGTCGGTAGTGCACAACTGAGGTGCCCACATGCTCAAAATCACCAGCTTCGGGGACAAGATGTCCAGAGGCTTAACAAGGGGGCTGTCCTCAAAATCTGAGAGCCGCAACATGGCCATTGAACGTCGGGCGCATTCCATCAGCTTTGTCAAGCCCGACTCGGACAAAGATTCTCAACGCGGTGAATAAACTCTGTTCACGGCTGGGCAGGGACCTTGAAGCCCTAACGGTAGGATCCGAGTCTTTTTGGGGGCAAAGGGATATTCATGACTCCAGGCCCCTCCACACCCCCCCCCCCGCCCAAGCCCTTGAACAATCGAGGAACCCAGCTGCAGGGCTGTAAAGTTTCAAGGTTTTAAGGCTTCAGGCCTTATGGCTCCCTAGGCTTCTGGGTCTTCATTTTCTTAGGTCTTAGGTCTTAGTAGGGTTTAGTTTAGCCCCAGTGTAACTCCTCGCCAAAACTGCTGTGTGTCAACACATGTCAAGCGCATCGAAATGATCCATCATCGGCTTGGGGTTTGAGGTTTAGGCGAACCCTAAACCCTAAACCGCAGCCATCACTGGTGGTCCAGCTCTAAACCCTGAAGCCCCCAAGCCATATCAAAGAGTGTGCTGCGGGAGTTCTCGGCTTTGACATCGTTGGGGTTGGGGGGTGAGGGTGGCCGGCAGGGCCTACCAGGGTTTTGGGATCTTTGGCAGAACTTCTCGCCTTGTTTAGGGGGTTTAGGTTTAGGGTTTGGGGTTTCGGGCTGAGGGCTTCGATTGACGAGTTCTTCTTTCCGGTGCTTTGAAAGGTTTTGGGGACTCAGGTCTAGTCTAGGTCTCCGAAAGCCAGCAGACTTAACACTAACGTGCATCATGACCAGCAGGCAAAAGAATCCTAAGCGTTTGCAGTCAACATGAAACGGGGGTTGCAGTTGCCCTCTTGTGCAACCGGAGTTTGCCGGCGGCATGGTTCGGGATGGACAAGGCAGGCATCTAGAGCCCGCGGCCAAAAACGCCGGGAGTCGATACCCCTAGAAATCGGTTGCTCCCCCCCCCCCTCTCGAGGACTGCCCTCTCAACCCTCGATCCAAAAGACCTAGGACCAACCCAGAAAAACAAAGCCTTACCCTCTTGCTCCACTGGCGGAACAAAGTCAGAATATTGGTGGTTGTCAAAATTATGGTCCCTTTTTGGATCCCTACTATACTACGGCACCTAATATTTAGGGTGCCCCAAAAGTAATCCTCCGTCATAATTTTGACAACCACCCATGTGGCCGTTAACTCCTGTGAAACATCAGAGTTGGCAGTCAGCGCAATGTAGCCTTAGGCCAGATCGTCGCGCGCCGACAGAAGCCACCTTTCCGGGAGATCCTAAGCCTCCCAAGCTACGGAGAACGCAGTGCTTTTCAGAGTTATGGCGGCGAGCTGCAGAAAGCAGGGCAATAGCTGGGAAGAGCGCCTCCTCAAATACCAACTGCACTCAATAATCTCACCGGACCCGTGACACCCCTAACATGCCCTACCTCCCCTTAGCTGCGGCACTGGAAGCCTCTGAGTACAGGAAAAATGTGTCGTTACCAAAAAAGCTTCTTAGTTGCAGCGGAAGGATCCCGACGTTTGGTTGCAGCCACAAGTCTGTGGGCAGAGATAAGCCAGACCACGAAAAAGCTCTTCATTCCTTCTTACTTTATGAGGAGGGGCTCTGACGACCTTCCTGCAGCCACCTTGCCTACCCATTCCGACTTGCTTACTTGCAAAAAGGCCGCAGCAGAGGCTGGCAGTCCAAAGAGCACCTATAGCACCTATAGATCTTTTATACTAATTCTATACTACCTCTGTCACTGCCGGGCCTCGGCTCCCACATTTTTTTAGAGACCCTCATCGTAGCTTGTGACCTATTTAGCAACAGAGAGGGTGTAGAGCAATCCAAAAATTGATGCATGACTGCTGCGCGGGGCGCCCCGCGCACCAGGAGGCACCGGTCCTTAGCAAGAAACCCAAAGGCTTCGGCTGAGCAAGCCGGAGCTACAAAACTAGCCGCGCGCCGTGCCCCTGGTAGCTTAATTATTCCGAAGAACTGCTCTTGTCACTCCGAGAATTGCTCAAGCGCAGAGCACTCCAAACTGACCCGAGTCAAGTCTCAGAACCTCGGCAGGGAACTGCATGAGAGCGCTGCATCCGCCAGTCAGCATTGCCTCCGAGAGTTTGTTGCACTTGGGATGCGCTTAAGATGGGCCTTCAATGGGATGATTCTTGAGACGACTCCACAGGATCTCTAGTGAGACCACCTCCAGACGTGAGCGTTCGACTCTCTTGAGGATGTCTTTGACTGCTACCACATGCGAGTCCTTGAACGATGGCTTGCACTGTGCCTGAGCTTTTTTTGCCCAAAGAGGAAACGGCGCAAACTCCAAAAGTGGCTGGCTCACTATCAAGAGGAAACTGAAACCCATGCTTCTTAAACTTCTCTAACCAACCCAAGTTTTCCTCCGTACAACTCCGAGCAACACCGCCGCACGGTAAATACACTCGGAAGATCTTGAACCTCAAAACCACCCAGCCTACCATGGAAGGAAGAGTCTCAACCTCAAGTACGCACCATGTCACTACGCACACTTTACAAAGCTCTTTCTTTCTTTCTTTCTTTGGGGACTGGGGGACGAACCCACGCGCGTTTACACAGCCCTCTCTCTCTCTCTCCCTCTCCTCTCTCGAGCCTGAATCCTTAACCCGCACTTGACGGAATGCGCCTGGATCAAGGCGGTCATGTCCGAGAAAAACGCTGTCTGCCGCATGTCGCGGCCATAGGCTGCCTGAGGTTTCATTGATGCACCCGTATCTTAACGGGCGTATGGAATATACTGTACCCTAGCATATTATATAGCATATTGCGTGTGATGCAGCAAAACTGTGTACAGGGCGGCGTCCGCAGAAGGGGGGCAGGCTTCAAATACTGGAAGCTCCTTACAGCATTCGGAGGCATTACTTAATGTATATTTCAAGAATTTTGCCTTCTCGCAGCATCCAGATACGATAAAGGAAACATTGTTGCAGCGGGTGTTCTGGTCCAAAACTGCGTGGCCAACGGGCGCTCTGCATTTGTGCTTGGCCCCCAACCATCCCTGTTCGCAACCCTGCGACTTCGCTTGCGTTCACAGATGAACCTGACGAGTCAAGCCGAGTGCGACAGAACTCCTGAATCCGGTTGGTTGGACCAGCATTTATAACTAGTAGCAACTCTTGCAAGGCAGGGCCAATATGCGGTTCAGCTTTGTGACCCTTATCCTAAACCCTTTTGACCCTGAACCCGGTTCATCCCCCAAACCTACTTTCCTTCAGGGGCCCTTATCCTAAACCCCCTTTGATCCCCTAAGCCTACTTTCCTTTAATGGCTGTGCAATGGCTGTGCAGTAGACCAAGTCAGGGAGCTGACATGACGTCGAGGTAGTCGTTCCAGAAGTCTGCCCAGTGAGGACCAGGCTGATCTTGGCAGGTGCGGTTGGTCCTTGCGAGTGTGGGGATGGAAAGCTTTAGAGTCGGTTTGGCGGTGCTGAAGGAGCTCAGCTTTTAGAAAAAGAAAACAGGCCTTGAAGGAACTGAAAAACGATCGAAAAATGAATCTTCCAGCCCGGCTGCTGCAGCTGTGCCATTTGCAAGCAGGCTGCGCCACAACCCTGACTGCCGACTTTGTACCAGGGATTGCTGTAAGGACTCGTGCACCCACAGGTCACGCCGCATGTCAAACGAACCCCACGAGCATCGTGTGAGCTGCACAGTGCTTTCAATTCGCTGCCTTAGCTGCTTAGCCCCAAACTCTGGCTTGTGGCCCTCTAGCTTCCAGACACTCTTCGGTGAAAAGAAGGCGCATAAAACATAACCACATATGGTACACGGCACATGCGCCGTGGCACGTGATCATGCAGGAAAGCTGCAGCTTTGCACGTCCACGCGCCCCATGCTTGCTGCTGCGTTGTTCAAGTGAACCAGCTGGTCTGCAGTTGGAGGCGTGTCCCGGAGGTAGAGAAACTCTTCAATGCAGAATGGCCTCAAAGTTGATTCATCTCCTCAGTTATTCATGTGCTTGGATGCCTGGAACCTCCAAACAGCAAGCTGTTACAGTCCTGCATGTTCTAAGCCTCTAAGCATACTAATAATGTTCAACAACTATCCGTATCCTACACCAGATAGAGTCCACATGGTCGCCGAGTCTCGCATGCTGCGTTCGACTCTCTCCTTGAAGAGATCTTTGCTGGATGACATCACAAGATATGGAGACCCGCTCGCAGGGGGTGTTGTCCTTTGCGTATCTTCTGCTTCTGCCATCCAGCACAGCAAACAACACAACAATGACACGTTCTAGACATGCTATCCTGGCGAAGCTCCCTCAACCCAAAAAAAGTAGCGGAAGCAGCTGCGCAGGAAAAGCGAAGCCCACTGTTTCACACATACGCTAGATCGTTGAGAGTCTGCCAAAAAAGTTGACATGCACGTATGTTTTCGTGTTGAAGGTATACTGCCGCTGCAAGGTCGAGGCTTACCGCCGCTTGTGTAAAAACCGTTGGTCAACAGTAAACGTCTCAAGAAGCAAGGGCTTAACCTGACACCCTCCGGCAAGCGTCTCAGGCGAGGTGGCCTTATGAGATTCCACAGCCAGCTCTGTGTGCGTGAGGTTCCGGGCAGTGCCAGGAATCTCTGTCATGAGTCCATACGGCCTCTGCGTATTGGAGTTGTAAGAGACCGCGAAGTTCTGTGTTCCTCCACACATCTCCCGGATGACTGTCAGCATTGTCTCGGACAGCGGCCCGATCAGCAGGAAATACGAAGCCAACACAAGACTGCCCAAAGAAAGAAAGTGCAAGAAGGACTCCGCCTGACTCCTTCCGTGACTGTAGCTTACTTTGATTGGATCGAGCCTTCGAATGGCGTGCTGGTACCTCAGTGGAAGCATGCCAGCGAAGAGAAACTCGTCCACGTCCAAAATGGCATTGAGAGCGACGGCGTTCCTGTCCCCATGTCATCTTCAGTGACACACACCGCAAAAATGTGTTCTTGCACAACCTTGTCGCTCGAACAACCTTTCGGTCCAACCCTGGTGGCAGTTGAGCCCTATGTAGCCCACAAGCCCTATATATACATTTTTGCATCCAAGCCTACGATACATAAAAGCCTAAACCTTAGACCTCGAAGGCTTCACTCGCCCGCCCCTGGCCCCACCACAATCATCTAGAGCAGAAGTATACCCAACTGGAGAGCGGGCTTCACAACTGCTTCGGCCCAACTTTCACAACTGCCTCCAGTATTTCACAACCTGCCTGCGGAGCCAAGCCCGACTGCAAAGCTTCAGCTTGTAAACGGAGAGATTGCACACGGGGTGATACTAGGATGGCCCTTGAAGCCCTCTGAAAAAAAATTCCTGAAGATGATCCTCTTAAACCCAATAAGGGAAAATTTGGAAAATGCCCTTGGGACCCTAAACCATAAACCTAGGATACTACTGAAGAGGCAGGGCGCAACATCAACTCTTCGATGGAGGTTGTTCGGGCCAGCCATAGAACTCCAGCGACCAATAGGACAGTCGCAATTGCCTCAGTTCTGTTAGAGCTTAGGGATGTTTGGGGTTTAGGGTTTAGGTGTTATCTCTCCCTCTCTCTGTCTCTGCCGTCGCATCCAGAGGGTCTAGGGTTGAGGGGGTTTAGGGTCTTTTGAGCGAGAACACTGCAGCACGTAGTAAGGTAGCCACTTGGTTCAGAGTTGAACAAGAGCGCACTTCAGGGATCGCGCTTCTGCTGCTATGTTGGCGCCCTGTTTGTGTTGCTCCAAGAAAACCAAAACCCACAAAAGTTCACTGAAAAGCCTGGCGACAGTGCGAGCAATGTACGTGGTGAGAAGTAGCAGGAAGCGCCCATAAGACATGCTCAGAAAGGTGTGGTTGCGGACCTTTGTCGTACTTCTTTTGGGGATCGTCATCGCAGCCTCCATCTGCAGCCAAATCGAGCGGAACTCCTCCACAAGCTTACAAACCCCAAATGACCAAAGGTCTGTCTGAGTTACCCTCAGGGCAGCCCAATTCATTGCGGTTCTGACAAAACATGTCACAAAGAGCAAAAACAACAAGCAGCCAAAAGATCCGCTCTCGTACAATGCCCGCAGCTTGGCGATCGTGTTTTGACATGTTTGGCTCACATCTTGGCTTTCAGAAACTCCTATAAGAGGTGAAAGAAGTTTCTCTGTCAGAGCACCGTTTCGCACCTTGGGACTTTGGTCTGCGAGCATTGCTCGAGCGGGGGGCGGTCCTTGTAAACGCATAAGGTCCACAAGATAATGCAGACCGTGCAAAGTAAGACGCCAGGCCGGAAAAATGGAGCTTGCAGGCTGCCGTCCTTGAGGCCTGATGCCGAAACGTAGAAACAAGGGATGCTTTGAGAGGCTTTCAGGGCACGGAAAACGCACTGGAACCCTGGCCATGAGCGTTGATTATACTCAGGCAGTAAAAATTCTATGCGAGGCTCAGGGCAGAGCAGCCAAAAAAAAATCGATAGTCAGAAAGCTGAAAGCCAGGGGTCCGAGGAAGCTGTTGATGTGGTTGATGAGGTTCGCCTGCGTTGTGGACAGAATCAAGGCCCCGTCACCGCTGCACACCCGGGAGACCAAGCTGGTGTCTGCCAGATCGATGAACTTATAGTCGTGCGCCACGCTGGTGCGCCACTTCTTTGCGTGGTCAATGTTGGAATCGAAAGCGGCGCCCATAAAGGAATCGGACAGCAGAACCCAGGAGAAGGCTGTCTGCATGCCAAGGTTCAAGAAAACGAGAAGGACTGCAAACACCCGGTCGAACTTACCGGCATCGGCCAAACCAATCACCAGTGGCATGCACCAAACACTTTCCTCAAAGCATACCTCTGTTGATTCCAATGATGCCGAGTCCATGGATTCTTCAGCTGAGGGAACTTTCCCCCAAAAACTCAGCGGCTTGGCCCCTTCTGGCGGGACTTTTTCATCCTGTACCACGGCGAGCTGAGCGTTTTCACAAACAAGACCCACAGCCTCAGGCGTGAGCTTCTCCCCAAGGTCCAAGTGTGTCTCCACCACCTGGCGCTCACGGCGATGCTGCTTGTGGAGCATAGCATCATAGGGGCCATGAAGAAATGGACTTGTGCAACGCGTAACAGCAAAGAGCGGCGCAACAGAACTTAGGCGAAGCTCATACGAGGAATCTCGAAGCCAGGAACGGACCCAACACCAGCACACTAAGATGCACCATTTTGGTCACCCTGCACACACACCAAGACCTAGACCACAAACTGCAACCCTCAACTCCCATCCATGCACCGTGTCGTGTGAGCAGCCAGCATGCAAGTCGAGAGCCCCGAAGACTGCAGATCCAGCAGCCCATGAACAGGGACATAACAGGAACCCTGCGTGCCTTGACACGGGCCTCGAGCCGCACAAAGTCCGTGTGGAATTCCTCGCGAAGCCGAGCGAAGCACCTCTGCCTGAGAGGGAAGGGGAAAACTCTGGTTCATGCAACCTGTTCAAGCCACTGCATACTGAGGATTAAACATATCTGTTCTGTTGAGGCTTGTAGGTCTTTCACAATCAGGATGCAGAAATATTTGATCAAAACAGAAAGGTTGATGATATCTTGATGATGCTCCTACATACGGGCGTCTTAAGCTACAGAACTTCGCTGTGCACAATACTGCTACGCTGCTACACATGACCAACTGCTTTTGCCCAAGATCGAGATCTTTCCCTGCCGGCAAAGCCTCAAACCCCACCGCTTTGCTCGCAGGAATGAAGCCTCCAACCATTCGTCTGAACTTCTGACACCTTGATGGAAATCAACCCAGGGTTTCTTCAAAACCCAAACCCCAAAACCCTCGCAGAAGCACGCAGCCCTAAGCCTCGGGCATCTCGGAGCTTATTTCGGGCATCTCCAGCTCCACGCCTTGATCTCTGAGAGGAGGGAAATCTCCCAGTTTTAGCCCAAAAGGCACATGGAGATGAGGGGGAGCTTCTGCTGGCGGCAAGTATGAAACAACAAAAGGGGGAGCTCTCAGGCCTGGCCTCGGGATTTTTTCTGGGGTTCGAGAGCTTTCAAGAGAAGCTCGTGTAGAGGATGGGACGGTAGCCCAACATGATGGCCCGACGTGCCAGTTCAGTCCCATGCCTATGCTACCACGCGAGATCGGAGAACAAATGAGAACAGCTACTCACATCAAAAGGCTAAGATGAGCCAGGACACTCTGCATAGCATGCCCCAACTCCTGGCGGCTTTGGGGCGTACAAGAGCCGGGAACACTCTTAAGAAATGGCATAGCAGCTGCCGGTCATTGAAACCAGAATTCCGGGCTCAAAAGGTCCAAGCCTAAGACAAACAAGACAAACGGCTCCTCTTCGGCATTGTCGCCATTTTCGGCCCCAGGCTTGGAACCCGCTGCGATCGTGGGCACTGGCATGGCAGTCGCCGAAACTCTGAACCAGCAATGCCAGATCTACTTAACGATGGGCCCCGCCCTTCTCCCAAGTTGACTGGTTTGGATCGACTGCGTCCTTTGGTTAAACTTGGCAGAGGTTGTGCTGCTTGTCTAGAGGTTGCCCAAGTGACTCCCAACAATTATGCAAACTAGAAGAAAGCCAAAAACTCACGCCACCCGCATGAACTTTGAGCCGAAAACCGAACCGCCAGAAAGCTACAAAAAAAAAGTCCAACAAGAAGATGCAACAAATTGGGAAAGCTCAGGAAAAGGCAACAAATTCTGCTTCAAGCCACGCAATGTCGAGCCGGCTGAGCTTGCATCCGCGACGAGCTGGAGCAATGCACGGAGTGCAGTGCGCGGAGTGCAGTGCGCAAGGCGCTACGGACTTGCACCGGCACGCTTTGCAGTGTGAGGACGTGCTTGCGTATAGCGTGGCTGCGAGATCAATGACGTCAAGGGTTTAGGCCTGCACGAAAGGCCGCCTCAGCGGAGAGCACCCGCCGTTGGGATGCTGCGGCGACGTGGGGCTCGGATTGCTCATCTCGCACAGCCGGCGTCATTCTCGCACGCAGCCGGCGACTTCGACCTCCTCGCCGACCACGTCCTCGGGCCCGCCGCTCTCTTTGGACGACGCGCGCAGCGGCGGACCCCACGAAATCGGCGGCGGGCTCCCCGTCAGCTCCAAGGGGATGCACCCCGTGGGAACATCTGCATGATGGGCCGCTGGGGCGGCGGGGGGCAGGCGCGTCGGGTGGAGTAAGCGGCGCGTCACCTTGCCGATCACCCAACTCTGGAACAGCGCCAAAGCCCTTGCACGCACGTGCAACAAGCTCTGAAACTTCCCTACCCGCATCTGAGGGTTTGGGGGGCTCATCTAAGCCAAAAGAACCTGGCAACTTCGATCAACCTTATCGACATCCTGGGGCCTATTGCCATCGCTCGGCCTCACCACAGGCGCACCAAGCAGTGCTATGAGTGACGACCTCGGGCGCTCCTCTTCAATTATACTGGCGCATACTCTCACCCAAGTTGGAAGTGTCAGCACGGAGTGGCCTGTGACGTTCTTGCCCAAGCAGTCGGCTGTGCTTCGTCACACGCTCCGAGGTCATCCATCCAAAGTTGGCTTCCTTCGGCCAACCGGACCAGCACCAACATCAGCATGAGCATACTATGTGACGTGACATCTGTACATAAAAAAGGGTCTACAGTAAGCGTTCAAGCTGGAGCCTACACCGGCACCAAGGGTGTCCATTTGTGGCGAAGCATGATCAAGTCCCACGTGGCCTTCCCGGATTCCACTGCCTCAAGGGCTGCCTGGCTGTCACCTAAACGCATGTTAGTTCTCAGACGGACATGGTGCAAGATCAATCTTTTCAATGTTTTTTGCGAAGCATGGCGTGAGCGTGAATTGGGTTTTTGTTGTTGCGCTCAGTGGAGTCAGGCCCTGTTTTCAAAGATATGTCAATACTTTAGTTCCACGTTGTTAGAATGCGCTCGGGTGTCACACAAACTAGGGAGAGTGTTGACCAGGGAGTGCGTGGCGGAATGAGGGTGGCTTGTGTAGGTTGGTGCCGGCCTATTGCTCATGGATAGTCGTCGCCATCAAGCGCGCAGGCACTGGGCTTTTCTTGCAGGGGAGCTGCAGAGCTGCACTCAGGTCCTCTTGTATGCAAAGAATGTTTCAATCAGAGAAGACAAACGGTCAGAATATGAGTTAACTGAATCCGATGAATCCGTGCTTCACTTTGCTTGTGGCCTTGACTTTCGCTGCAGGGCCTGGCCGTGCTTTCCATCACTGCAGTTAACTGTAGCTTTCAAGGTTGGGGTTCTTTTGGGGCTGTGAGAGCAACAGGAAACACATGCGACTCCGCCCCACGCCCCGAATGCTTTCAGTATTGGAGACTGCAATTCTGTGTATGATATTTTGTACTTGCTTCGTATGAGTTCTGTATTATGTTTCGCTCGTTGCAACATCCTGTTCAGCCTGCCCAAAACATGCGAGGAACAGCTGCAAAGCTCTGTTGGCTTAGCGTCTTAGGTTGCTAGCTTTACGGTTCACAAAGATGCCGACTTGGCATGCTCAAGAACAGTTTCAGTGGGTAGTCCCGAGCGGTGCCAATGTATTCCAACAATGATGGGACCTTCTTAACCTCTCTGAGGCTGTCCAGGGACAGGGATTGTATGGCGATACTCTGGGGTTGGGCAACTCCAAGGAATCGCTGAAAATAGCAGCCAAGCTGGGAAAGCGAGGGCGTGACGGGCGCAAGTAATGCGGCGCGTCCATGTTTCTTTGCAAGTCTGTAGCTCGATTGGCGATGGGGGTCTAGCTCTATACACTCACCACACCTACTTCTGGCGGCGGTGCAGAGCCTAACGACAGCACCTGCGTTTGCAGGTGGTGCTGAAAAAACATTGAAGAACCATGTCTGGGCAAAACCGCTGCGTGTGCGACCATGCTTCTTTCATATTGTATCATCCTGCAATCTGGGGTTGATGCCACTAATTCCTTCCATCGTGACAACGCAGTGATTGTTTTGATGAAGTTGGCCTCCTTCCGCTCTAAACTCGGCCGTGACAGAGAAGAACAAAGCTAATGATGAAGCTACGGGCATGTGCCAGCCTAGTTCGCAGAGACAACAAGGCCGTATGCAGTTGGCGGCAAGTTCATCCTAAGCTACTTGAAACACTTTTTGCATTGTGCTCTCCGAGTCTTGAAAAGCAGGTTGTCATTCCAACTATTTCTTTCGTGCGAGTCGGCACCATACTCATCCAGTACAGCATCCCCTCGGAATGTGGAGCTGAGCACGAGGACTTCATGCTGTGGCCTTCGGCCTTAAACGTAAAGTGCAGGTGTCCGTGGGACCAAGGCCAGACCTTCTGCCAGAACATCACATGCCATTATCTGTTCTACAGCCCTAGACTCCCTTCCAAGCTTCAAAGCCCCAAGTGAAAGTAGTACTATACATTAGGCCATGTGATGGAAGACAGCAGGTTCTTTTTCCCGGCTCATCACGATCTGAGGGAACGCACGGCGACACTCCTCATTGAAATGAAAGTCCCGGGCGCACCACGTGGTGCGGTGGTGTGCTGACTGCTCGGCTCTTGCAGTGTCTAGCGGCTCAACGCCATATAACATTGCTTGAAAAACACATCAATTGAACCTGGCCAGACACCACTCCGTTTTGACACCGCACGACACAGTCAAGTGGCTTGTGCAGTGAATTATGGTCTTGGACATCTCAGGCGCGCAGGCGTCCGCAGCCTGACAGTGCAAGCTGCAAGTTGATGAACGCTGCACTTGCAACCTAATGCAGGTTGCCCTCATCAAGAGGGGGCGATTATCCCGGGTGCTTTGCAGGTTGAATGGCGGTTGCATACGGGCGCAGCGCAGCATGGTCACGGAAATTGATGATTGTTTCCCATTCCTGATGGAATCGCAAGTCTTGC